TACTGTACTGGAGTTAAAAGATACAAATGTCACCATTTTATTCAACTTCTGTTGGCCATGTGACTAAGGCCAAATCACATGTTCTTTCTGAGCCCCATCCCTTCTCACGTCTAAGATGGGGATAATACTTTGCTTCATAGGATTAAATAAAGTATATTGGGCCACAGTTTATCTGGCTCAGTGGATGCTCAGAAAAGGTCATTCATGCCCTTGCAATTTGGGTTGGTTAAGAAAAAAATCAGATTGTGGACCATCATGAAAGGCACAGAAGAGACTTGGTGTGGTGTGAAGTTCAGAATGTCAGTATGGGAACAGACTCAGTGCAGGTTGGCTTTAGAAGCGCCCCCTGGCTGCAGTGCAGGAGGAAACTAGAGGTGAGAAATACCCATGCCGTTCAAGGTCAGGCGCTGACGAGGGTACAGAAGTCAGAGAGCAAATCAGGGGCTGCCTGGTGGCTCAGCGGTGGGGGATCTGCCTGCCAGTACAGCAGCTACGGGTTTGGTCCCTGGGCTGGGACGATTGCACATGCACCACAACTGCTGAGTCTGTGCTCTGGAGCCCAGGAGCAGTGACTGCTGAAGGCCACGCACCCTAGAGCCCGTGCCCTCCAACAGGAGGAGCCACTGCAATGAGAAGCACGGACGTGGCTGCTGGAGAGTAGCCTCCACTCTCTGCAGCTAGGAAGAAATGCCTGAGTAGCAGTGAAGACCCAGCACAGCCAAAAATAAATAAACAAAATTACTTTTTTTAAAAGGAAAAGAACAAATCAGAGTTCAAAGGAACAGGTACTAGATTTGTCCAATGTTTAGTTTTATGGCTTTGCTGAGAAGGAAGAATCAGTCACCCTCATATGAACCTGAGGCTGCTGGCCTGGTAGCTGGAAAAACAGTGGAGCAGCGAGCAGTGCAGGGCAGTCTGGAAGCAAAGCTGAGTTAGGAAAGGACAGTCTGCTCAGCTTTGAACATATGACTCTCAAGATGATTTTGTGTTGTCTCTGGATGGTTGGATAGTCTCTGGCATGGGATCTTGTGGAAAAGAACACAGGATTAGAAAGCTAAGAGATTGATTCTTTTTCAAGCTTACTTGCTAATTAGCTTTGTAGTCTTGGGAAATTTGGCAAATATTGAATGTAGTTATCTGAAAAATGAAGCTAAGACCTGCCCTGTCAGCTTTACAGGATTGTTTGCTGATCAAATAAAGTATGTGAAAACACTGTGTAATTGCAAACTCTTATGCGTGCCTGTGTGCTAAGACACTTTAGTGGTATCCAGCTCTTTGTGATCCTTTGGACTGTAGACCATGAGGCTCCTCTATCCATGGGATTCTCCAGGCAAGAATACTTGGGTGGGTTGCCATTTCCTTCTCCACGGGATCTTCTCAACCGAAGGATTGAACCTGTGTCTCTTATGTCTCCTGCGTTGGCAGGTGGGTTCTTTACCACTAGCACCACCTGGGAAGCCTGATAACTTTTATACTGTAATTGTAATATGGTAATGTTACTTCTTTTCTTAGTTCAAACTAAAATATTTGGTTATAGGGCTAGAGAAGAAAAGAGAAGAGGGGAATGCCGGACTTCTGAGAAGTTTGTGTTTGGAACTAAGAAGTATCAGAAATCTGAGTTGTTGTTGTTGTTCGGTCGCTCAGTCACGTCGGACTCTCTCCGACCCCATGGACTGCAGCACACCAGGTTTCTCCATCCTCTGCCATCTCCCAGAGCTTGCTCAGACTCACATCCATTGAGTTGGTGATGCCATCCAACCATCTCGTCCTCTGTTGTCCCCTTTTCCTCCTGCCTTCAGGGTCTAGCATCAGACTCTCTTCTAATGAGTTGGCTCTTCATATCACGTGGCCACAGTATTGGAACTTCAGCTTCAGTATCAGTCCTTCCAGTGAATATTCAGGATTGATTTCCTTTAGGATTGACTGGTTTGATCTCCTTGCAGTCCCTGAGTGCATGTGCCTGAAAACCACTATAGACCATGGGACATAATCTGGAAGCTGATCTTGTGTATGACAGTTACAAGAACCAAAAGCACAGATTGCATCATGTCAAATGCTGGTATTTAACTTGCTTTCAAGTTGGAAGTTTGGAGAACTGTTGAATTCTACCTGTATATTTGCCCCATGTGTATTTACAGAATTTAGAACATACTTTCTTGTGTCTGTGAGCTACATATTTTTGTCAAGTGTCAGATTGGGGTAAGGTTCAATTCTTAAGCTATATATATATATATATACACACACACACACACACATATATATACATAAAGAAATGATTTCTAACCTTTATGAGCATTATCTGTATGATATGCTGGTTAGGAACACAAACTCTGAGACCAGACTGCCTGTTGGGAGCATTAAATGGAGTCCTGTTTGTAGAGCTCTTAGAATGGCTCCTGACACACACTAAACTGTCTTTTAAGTGTTAGTGGTGGTTATTATGAAATGCTTAGTTTTTGTTTTAGCAGTGACCAAGGGATAAAGAATAGAGTTGACCAAAAGGTTCATATGGGTTTTTCCATACGATGTAATGGAAAACCCCAAACAAACTTTTGGGCCAACCCAATGCCTGAACAAAAGAAACAAGTCCTCTCAGAACTTAGCACCTGAGGAAAGTGTTAGTGGCATAATGGCAAAAATCTTGGGCTTCAGAGTCAGAGATGCCTACATGCAAATCCTGATTCAGCCTCCTTGGCGTTGGGGTTTAAGCAAGCCCCCTAAAAACTCCTCTGCAGCTCACTTTCCTTATCTGTGAGCCAGGAGTCACTCCACCTTGAAGAGTCATTTTGAGGATTGAGAGAGATGTGTAAAAAGTGCTTGGCCCAGAGTCGATGCTAAGGAAGTGGGAGTGCCCTCTCACATCCTGTGGCCGCCCCTCCCCGCACCTCACCCCAGTATAGAGCAGTAAAGTCAGTTGATTTTTTGTAAGCTCTCATTTTCATTCCTTTGCAAGTTAAGAACTGCTAACTTTCTTTCCACCTGCAAACATCAGAATAAACAGCTGTTTAATTGGATACACCTTGGAAAATGTTGTCAGCTGTTATTTCCTTCTTCCCTTCACTGTTTTGGCTTACTTGCTTTATCATTTTTCTACTGGAACCACGATAGTGGACATTACCAGTAAATCACGGAATTGAACTGGTCTCTAGTCTCCAAATCCACTTCCCTGCATTCTGCTATCTACAGTTAGCTCATCAGACTTGACACAGTAGTGAAATCCTCTCAGCCCTAGAGCTTTTTAGAAGAGATGTTTACAGGATTTTCAAAATTGTATCTGGGCATTCCATGAATCCCCTGTCTCAGGATGTGGACCTGTCAAACCTGTGCCAGAGCAGAGTGGTCTCAGAGCATTTCCTAACAGCTGCTCATCCATATTGTAACATTGTCACACGGTGTGGGCAGTTCCAGACACTTTCTAGAGAAGGCGCAGTGATTGTAAGTACAGCAGTGACCTGGCCAACAGCGTGCATCAGTGTCAGCTGGCATGTGGCATTAAAGTGCTCATGGAATCTAGAAGGATGGTGCTGATGAACCTATTTGCAGGGCAGCAGTGAAGATGCAGACATAGAGAACAGACTCGTGGGCATGGGGGCTTAGGGGGACAAGGAGAGGCTGAGACGAATGAAGACAGTAGCATGGAAGTATATCCACTACCATATATAAAATAGAGAGTGGGAATTTCCTGTTTGACTCAGGGAGCTCAACCTGGGGCTCTGTGACAACCTAGAGGGGTGGGATGGGGTGGGAATGGGAGGGTGAGACATATAGATACATACACATATCTATGGCTGAATCAAGTTGGTGTATGACAGAAACTAACACAATATTGTAAAGCAGTTATCCTTCAATTAAAAATAAATAACAAATATATATAGAACTCATGCCCTAGGCCTCACCCCAGATTTACTGAATCAGGGTCATCAGTATATAGATCTTGACATGTGCCTTTTGTAAAAGTAAAGATGATTCTACTATCTATATCACTGATTAAGAACAACTAGATACTGGTGAGAGCATAGGAACTAGTTGTCCCCTCACACTATTGGTATGAGTATAAATTGATATGGTATAGCCTATAATAAACTACTCTCTAGAACAGTTTTACAGTATCATTGGAATTTCAGATCTGTCCTAGAGAAATACATATATGCATAAAGATACAGTTTCAAGAAAGTTTTCTGTAAGCCCGTTTATAATATCCAAGAGTTGTGAGCAACTCAGTGGTTGTCATGGTTAAATATGGTAGATCCCGCAGTTGTTTCAGTGTGACCACAGCCACTTAGAGAGCGAAGGATGCATGAGAATGATCTGTGCATGGCTGATGTAGAAAGATAGCTAGGGTTTGAGTTGAATAAGAAAGTCACAGATTAAACTATTTTAAACACTGTGTGTGTGAATATATAGAGAGAGATCTAGAAGAATACCCACTGAAGTATTTACAGTGGTTACCCATGACTCATTCGGCCTTTTAAATTTTGTATTTAAAATATTTGCAATAAGATTTTGTTATTTGTTATTTTAAGATTTGTTATTTTTTTAATAACAGAACCACTGGACAAAACATGAATGATCCAAGGAAAACTCCCATGGAACTTAATTTGTATGCATCAAGACACTGCTGATTTTGCAATTACGTTTTAACTGAGACGTATAATCTCTAACTTGGGAAACAAAGGAATGTCAAAACTATTTTGCATGTTTGCGAAGAGGACAAAATATTTGTTTCTCAAGTTATTATGACAGTCATTGAGTTTCAAACAGATAAGCATTTACGATAAATAGTGTTTGTTCTGTGTCAGAATCACATTGGCTGCTTGTTTTAAAAACAGTGTTTGTGCAAATGTGGATATGAAAATGGGCTTCGGAATATTTTACTTTAATCATTTGCTGTTGATTAGCCATCTAGCCTTTGAGGTTATTAACTAACACTTTTTGATCTCTCTTTTAAAACTTTAGGCCCGATGAGAGAAAGGGAAAGTTAAGGATGCTGGAGCAGAACAATGGATTTCTCTTTCTCTTTCATGCAAGGGATCATGGGAAACACAATTCAGCAACCACCTCAACTCATTGACTCCGCCAACATCCGCCAGGAGGATGCCTTTGATAACAACAGTGACATTGTTGAAGATGGTGGCCAGACACCATATGAAGCTACCTTGCAGCAAGGCTTTCAGTACCCACCCACAACAGAAGATCTCCCTCCACTCACGAATGGCTACCCACCATCCATCAGCATGTATGAAACTCAAACCAAATACCAGCCGTATAACCAGTATCCCAACGGGTCCGCCAACGGCTTTGGTGCAGTTAGAAACTTTAGCCCCACTGACTATTACCATTCAGAAATTCCAAACACACGACCCCATGAAATTCTGGAAAAGCCTTCTCCTCCACAGCCACCACCACCTCCACCTTCGGTACCACAGACTGTGATTCCAAAGAAGACTGGCTCACCTGAAATTAAACTAAAAATAACCAAAACTATCCAGAATGGCAGGGAATTGTTCGAGTCTTCCCTTTGTGGAGACCTTTTAAATGAAGTCCAGGCAAGTGAGCACACAAAGTCGAAGCATGAAAGCAGGAAAGAAAAGAGGAAAAAGAGTAACAAGCACGACTCATCCAGAGCTGAAGAGCGCAAGTCACACAGAGTCCCCAAGCTAGGACCAGAAGGACAAAATGTAAGTTGAAACATCTTTTTGAAAAATTTTGTAATATTTTCACATTTACTGGAGGTCCAAGAGATCTTTTTCCAGTTTTTACCTCTTCAAATGTAAATATTTCTGATAACTTCTTTCTTCTGATCTCTGGCAAGGAGCTTGGGTTATGATGACGGGTGGTAAGTAAATATTTGTTGAGTAAATGAATGGACATCATCAGACTAAAGAGATATTTTAAAAACATGTGACACTAAAAGTCTTGCCTCTGATGTGTCTTTGTTTAACAGTTTCACTTAATCTTGCTTGTAATAAACTGGCTTCTGCAGATGAAGAGGAAAGTCAGCGAGAATATGGTTAATGAAATTGGTTTTCCACTGTTCCAGAACTTCAGCTTTTTTTTTGGTCGGGTTGCACCGGGTCTTCCTGGCTGCCTGTGGACTTTCGTTGTGGCAAGCAGGGGCTGCTCTTTGTTGCAGCGGGCGGGCTCCTCACTGTGGTGGCTTCTCCTGTTGCAGAGCGCAAGGTCTAAGGCACTGGGGCTTCAGCTCAGTAGTTGCAGCTCCCGGCTCTAGAGGACGGGCTCAGTAGCTGTGGCGCGTGGGCTCAGCTGTTCCACAGCATCTGGGACCTTCCCCACCCAGGGATGGAACCCGTGTCTCCTGCATCGGCAAGCAGATTCTTATCCACTGTGCCACCAAAGAAACGCCTGGACCAGCGTTCGCCAGGAGAGCTTAGATTTACACTCATCACTAGTGTGTTTGCTGCAAAATAACCTGAGGTAGACAAAGGAACTCTTTATTAAAATCAGAGTTAGTATTCATACATACTCATTAAAACTTCAGGTAGCATTTTATAAAAGTCATCCTTTGGTGGTAACTTAAGATGAATGCTACTGATTTTTTTTTTTAACAGCTCTGTTTCACTATTAATTTCCTTAATAACAAGAGGTATGTAACAAATCAATTCTAGCTTGAAAGAAGAGTTTTTCATTAATATTCTAATATATAGTATGACTTGAAGATGTCCCCAGACATAGATTTGGGACGAAATGAATGCTTTTCTATCTGGTATGCAAGTTAATTTGTTATCTTCTATTCAAAGAAATGTTTACATCTTACCAACTCATCTTTTCCTTAGTAGCTGAGTTCTACTTCTTTATGCAGATCAACATGATCATTCACTGGAGTAAAGGTCACACTTGTTTTAGGCTCTCACAAGTCTCAGTGTGATAAGTCAATATGTTTTTCTCATTTTCTATTGTTTTTTCTTATTCAATTTTTTCTTGTTTTTTTTTTTTAAAGTTTTTCTTCTTGTTTTTTCTTACTCAACTTAACAAATATCTACCGAGTACCTAATGTGTGCTAGACACTTTTCTAAGATTTGAAAGTTGGTCAGCAAGTGAAAAGTAAAGATGCCTACTTCAGGGTGCTAACATTGTAGTAAGAGGAACCAGAAAACACACACACACACATACATGTGTGCATGTTAACATGTCTAGGTTCAGATAGTGCTAAGTGCTATGAAGAAAATAAAACTGAGTGATGAGATAAAGAGAACTTGTGGATGCTAGCAGTTCTGCCATCTTAGTTCTGTAGCTGTAAAATGACTCTGAAGCAAAGTGGTTTCTGAAATGCCTTTAAATTTCTTAAGTCATTTATTAAATGTACTCCCCCTCCCCGCACAGATTTTAGCTCATGTAGTATCTTACACTGCTTATTAAGTGAATGAATCCGTGAAAGGAGAGAAGTTAACTTTTTCCCCTCCAAACACATCCACTGTAGCATTTCTTTCATGGACCTGCAGTGAAAAGACATGCGAAGCCCCAGTGACCCTTGGGAATCACGAAAATGCATAAAACCTGAATTTGGTTCTAGCTGAGGTTCTAAGAACCATTTTGGTAACCCGACTTTCTTTTGCTCTAAAGAATCTAGCAAATAGGAGAATATCCAATTTTACTTACTAGGCTAGACTTATTGCCTCATTGATAAAAATATTAAAATGTATAGTTTAAAATATATCTCACAATAGAAATAGGGCTGGAAGCAGTTAGAGGCAAGAGAAGATAGCCTGTTCATTTTTCATATCCACTGTTTGCTTTATTGGAATCTAGGAAACAGTTCAGTACAATGATATGTCTAGTAGTCACTTTGCAGTGAGACTTTAAAGCCAATTCTGTCTTTGTTGGTTGTCTGCTATGTCTGGCCGTTTATGTCACTTAAACCTTGAGTTAACGGTTATATCCAGGAATTAAAATGGTTAGATGTGATTTAAGAGTTTTAGTTCATTTTCTTTTTTTTAGTTAATCATGTAGGGGCATAATATAATATTTCGTTATTTAGGATCTTATAGTCTCTTGGGGTAAAGGAATATCAGTTTGATTGAAGATATAGATGTGGTAAGTGGCATTGATTGCCTTAAATGTTACCAAGACCATTGCCTGAAAGTTGAGCTTTGGGGGAAAATCTAGGCTTGTTTTTTTTTCCCTTGTTTTTCTCCCCCCACCACCCACATTTTCTTTCAAAGAAATGTAGTGAAGAGCTAAGCTCTTGTTAGTTGAATTTGATTTAATCAGACTTTCATCGCACACGTGGGACAGGTCTAAGCTTATGGGAAGGTGCCTTAAAAGTGATCCTGTGCTCTGACAGTAGAACGTTGAAGCTGGTGTCCCAGGACCCTGCTTGTTGTTAGGGCTGTGCCTCTGCTAAGCTGTGCAGACAGGGATCTGCACACATCAGCCTGTGTTTTTTGTAACCATGTATGGTTTTATAGGGGTTTCCTTAACTTGAACAACGTCCTTTTGCTTCCTTGTTCCTTTTGCTTCCTTGAGGACAGTTGATTTAAGTGTTTTAACTTTTGATATCCTTGTGCCTCCTGGCTGTCACTGGAGGTCCATATCCTTGGCGTCCAGCATTATAGAGGGCTCGGAAGGGAAAGAGGAGCCCAAGGAAGTGTCTGCAGACACCACTGGATAGCTCCTCTCCCCCGGACGCCTGAGGAAGACCAGTGAGAGCTGGTGCCTGGAATGACTCCTCAAGCTGGGTTTATTGATAACTATATCTAGATGTCCAGATGTATATTTCTTCCTTAAAAGCTCACTCATAGGTTCTTTTTTGAGACAGACAAAGCAAATAAAGTCTCATCTAAAAATAAAACAAGATTTCACTCACTCCTGTTTTCTTTCCTTTTTTCTTAGTATTCGATCTACGAGTATTTCCTCCCAATTCTGAGCTGTCTGGCCTTCTAGAGAGTGGCTGTTCTGTGGAACAACCTAAGTATATCTTTCCAACAATGAAAATGTGTGTCCAAACATCTCAGCAGCAGGAGACCTGGATCACTATTGAAATTGTATATTTTGTAAAGCTGCTTTAGCTGCTTTCTCTCCCACCAAATTAGAAACATGTGGAAATGTTTCTGCACTTCTTCCTCCTTGGCAGGTGTAATGCCTCAGGCATGTGAGCGTAGGCTCTGTTTAAACATTGGTCTTCTCCCAGCCCTCGGTGGGCTTATCCACTAAGGCCAGGCCCATTAACTCTCAGCTCGCCGTTTTCACGTGTAAAAAGCCAGACAGCTTCTTTGGCCCCATTAGCACTAAGTTAGAGGTTATATCTTGTTCTCCAGCCTCAGAGTGTTAGGTGTTAAAATTCTTAGAAACTGTTTATATGCATTACAAACTCACAGGTTATTCAGAAAGTAAAAGAAAAAATGCATGAGCAGTTTACTGGCTTTACATTTTTCTTTCCACCTTCAATGATGACATAAGGTATTGGTTCCTGTAGACAATACGATTTTACTTAATGTTTGAAAACTCTTAAAGATTTGGAACTCTGCCAGATTTGATGTGTATTATTCATCCTGATAAATCTCTTTCTTGGATTTTGATAAAAATGCTAGATTGTGTGTGTGTGGATGGAACTGCGTGGCTTGCGGGATCTTAGTTCCCTGACTGGGTACTGAACCCGGGTGTTGGCAGTGAAAGCCCCGAGTCCTAATCACTGCACCACCAGGGAATTCCCCCCGTTTTTTTGAAAGGAATATTTAGGGCAATAGAATTTTATTTTAGCTGCCGTTAGCATATTTTTTTTCTACCAGATTAAGAAATTTCCAGTGATTCTTTACTGGAAAAAAAAAGTCTTTCCACGTGAAATCAGCTAAAAATGTAAAGAGATTGTATACCCATAAAAATCATTCGTTTAAAATTAAGATGACTTTAAAGCTGTGAAGAGTTTGCTCACTGTCGTCTTTTTCTCGGATGCTTTCTCTTCCTCAAGCAGCACTGTTAGCACCCAGAAGGCATCTTCAGTCCCTGTTTGGTTTTAATCTCTTCTAAGCTTATCTATCCTTTGATAAGGATAAGTCGAAGGAAAGTGGATTTTATTCCGCGCAATATTTTATCTGTTGGCAATTTCTGACGCCTTATTTTTCTTGACTCCTAAGCGTTTGACTGCCATTGACCATTTCATCTTAAAAACTCCCCTTCTTAATTGATGTTTGTGGTACTATGTTATCTCTCTTTACCTTTCTTTTGAGCTCAAGTCTTAGATCTCCAAATGCATACTAGGTATTTCTATTTTGCTCACATATTAGCACATTTTGCAATATATATTCACATTCTATCATTGCAGCACCTTTATTTGACTTTTTTTTCCTTCTATTTTTATAGTTTGAAAGCTTAGAATAAATCTTCTTAGCCTTCTTTTTCTTCCTTGCCATTTTTTTCCTTTTAAAATGACTATGTTTAAAAAAAAGAAAAAACTTAGTTCTTTGCAAGTGATTTAAACTTTTTTTCAAGCCAGCCTGAAGGCAAGGCAGGCTTCCCTGATAGCTCAGTTGGTAAAGATTCCACCTGCAATGCAGGAGACCCTGGGTTGGGACGATCCCCTGGAGCAGGGAAAGGCTACCCACTCCAGTATTCTGGCCTGGAGAATTTCATGGACTGTATAGACCATGGGGTCGCAAAGAGTCAGACACGACTGGGCGACTTTCATGAAGGATAGGCGAACAACCTGGAACCACCTGGGAAAATCAGGAATGGATAAGACATTTGAATAATATAAAGGTTTTGAAGGAATCCTGTCTTTAACCCAGAAAGGGAGAAATGTTTATGAGCTTCAGACCAGCTCTTACAATAGTAGGATTCCATCATTTGGCAGATATGAGTCACTCCTTATCTGTCTGGCCTTAGAGTTAAAGGTCCTCGCAAACGCTCTGACATCCCCAGGGCTGAAGGCAGGGAGGAGGAGGACTTGCTTTCCCAGCTATACACAAGCTTGCCTAGGTGGCCCTGTCCTCCTGCTGTAGCTTGAGAATTGAGAAGCTGAGGTCAAGTCTTACTCTGTATCTTTGGACTGAAATGAAACTGCCTATGCAAATGTGGACAGTATTTTTAAACTGCCTCGTCACACCAGTGACTGAGGGTGGGAGGGGGGGGCAATTCTCACTTGAACATAGGTTTCTCTCTCCTTGCTCAGTGAGTCCTATCGGATTAGCCAGTCATAGCGTCACCACAGCCAGTCGGGCAGAGTTCACATAGTGCCACGAAGAGCCGCCACCGCCTTCTTCCACGCAGGCTCCTTCCAGTATTTTCAGTAGCCTCCTGATTAAACATCCCGCCTCCCCTCTCACTCCTTTCCAAGATATTCACCGCACAACAGCTAACACGATCATTTTAGAACAGAAATTGGCACGTGTTACTTCTCCCCCTAATCTTCCTCTGAGGCTTTCATCGCACTTGAGATAAAACCCTTGAACATGGCTCACAAGGCCCTAGTGAGGCCGCCGCCTCCCCTCCCATCTTGCAACCTCTCTCCTTTTCGGGGCAGTTGTAGCTGCAGTAAGGGCTCTTTTGAAGTTCCTACCTTTGTTTAACCTCGGAGACTTCACACATGCTGCTGTTCTCTGGAGTGTTCTTTCCCCCACTTTTTTACTGGACTACAACTCCTCTTCTTTTGGTTCAGATTATACTTCCTCAGAGAGGCGTTTCCTGATATCTGCATGCCCACACACTGTTACTTCTCTTCATCCATTGTATGAGTGTGTGTGTGTGTGTGTGTGTGTGTGTGTGTGTGTTGAATTCCCAGGTGGCTCGGTGGGTGAAGAATCTGCCTGCAATGCAGAGACACAGAAGACGAGGGTTCAGTCCCTGGGTTGGGAAGATTCGCTGGAGAAGGGAATGGCAACCCACTCCAGTATTCTTGCCTGGAGAATCCTATGGACAGAGGAGCCTGGTTAGCTACAGTCCGTGGGGTTGTAAAGAGTGAGACATGACTGAGTGACTAACCCCGCTTCATGTTTGTCTGTCTGTCTTACCCACCTGTGAGCTCTTTGAGGTCGAGCGTCACATCTGTATGTTTCACCACTGCACACCAACTTCTAGAACAGGCCAGGAACTCTGTGGGCACAGTCCAGTGAACGACTGACACGTGGGGATTGGCATATGAGTCACGCTTATCATTTTCTAACAACTTTCACAGTTTCTTTTACTTAATAAAGCTTTGTTTTTATAGCAATGTCTTAAATGTCTTGAATTAATTGAATGGAGAATTTTAAGTAACTTCTAGAATTAGCCGTAGTTTTTAAGTGAAATTAGACCTAAGTTAATGGTGTCTTAGACCTCTTTTTTTTTAAGTCATCTAAATTAAATTCTGTTCTTTAAGAAACGTTTTTGAACATTTTAAATTACAAAAGCAATTGCTTTTTACAGAAAACGCAACATACAGGTATCTATCTTTCTTCATCATTTTCCTAATCTCCTTCCTCAAACATAAGTACTCTTATCAATTTATGTACAATGTGTCAAATATTTTTCAAGGCGTGTCCAGCCTATTTTTTAAAATAACTTTTTATTTTTATTTTTTTGACTGCACTGGGTCTTGGTTGCCCACAGCCTTTCTCCAGTTGCAGTGTGACGGCTTCTCTTGTTGCAGAGCACGGACTCTAGGCTCCCAGGCTTCAGCAGTTGTGGCTCCGAGGCTTAGCTCCTCCGCATCACGTGGAGTTTTCCTGGACCAGGGATCAAACCCATGCCCCCTGCACTTGGCAGTCAGATTCTTACCACTGGACCACCAGGGAAGTCCCTACAGGCTGTTTTTTAAATAACAAGTAGGAAGATGTTGATAGCTGTGGGTTACTGACTTGAGATCGCGTTGCAGTCACCATCCCTGTGCTTAGATTTTCTCACTTTGTTTATTTCTATAGAACAGGTTCCTAAAATACAATTGCTAAACTGAAGAGTTTGTTTTGAGTTTTGATCCCAAATTGCCTCCTCAAAGGTGTGTAGAAATCAACTTTTAAATAACCTATTTGTGGGTTTTATGACTAGAAAAGTAATGTGATGTTTATTATAGGCAATTTGACAAATATAGAAAAGCACATCCAAAAAATCATGTAGTCCATCTTCTGGTGGTATCCTCCTCTTTTTTTTACTGTACACATAAGAATTATTTTTCCAGGATTGGAATCACACCATACAAACTGCTTTGCAGTTTGTTGTTTCCAGATAACATTATATTGTTATTTTTCTGTGTCACTTAAAAATTCATACTAAATTCTACTAACTAGTTGTATTACAGTTTATTTAGTTAACTCTGTACTTTTGGACTTGCAGACTAATTCTAATATTTGCTCTTGTAAAATGTCACCGATGTGATTGTCTTTGTATGTATGTATGTATGTATGTGTGTGTGTATATATGTATGTATCAGTGCTTTTTCAGTATACATTTTAGAAATGGATTTGCTGGGTCAGAGTCTGAAAATTTAAGGCTTTTCATGCATATTGCCAAATTGTTCTCTAGAAGAATTCTAAGTTACTTCTTACTAGCAATCTCAGAGGGCCCATTTTTCTGTACTCTGATAGGTTAAAAAAATGAGACTCAACAGATTAAGAAATTAAGTTTTTAAAGAGATAGCATGAGAAGTAGGAGCGTTGGCTGTGGTGTAGAGTGGACATGGGATGTTAAGACACAGGGTCGTGTACTCCTCGCGTTATCCAGTTAATGTACGTCCTTGATTTCCTTTGCTGTTTCGCTTTGTTTGTTTGTTTGTATGTGTGTCAGTGTTCTTTGGTTTGCTGCCATTTTATTCTTTTCACCTAGAGACCAAATGAGAGGGTTGACCCTGTATCAGAAAAGCCAAGAGAAGACCCAGTGCTGAAAGAGGCGCGCCCGGTGAGTGGCTTAGTGAGTGCTCTCTGACCAAACGTGGTGTGAGAAGGTGGGCGCAAAGTGATTAAATGAGAACACACTTAGCACCGATTATTACTTCAGGAATTATAATGAAATAAATCGTGGGGCTGGTTAAAGAGGTAGATTTTTTTCTTTTTTCTTTTTTTTTGGGGGGGGGGAATTACTTTCCTTTTAAAATCTATGACCAATTTTTCATACTTGTGAATTTTTGAGATCTCATCAATAATTTGGCAATAGAAACCATCCATTCTATTTTTAATATTTGGGGTGGGGCTTATTAATTATTTTCCTCCTCTCTTCTTTCCTTTTGCTAGATATGGATAGCAGGCATCAGACAAAAGTATGAGTGAAGATAAATTTTCCATGGTTAGCATGTTTGATGTATTCTGTACATTTTTCTGTTTAAAAGTTTTTTTCTACTGACAAAGTCTTTTATGACCTTTTCCTACAGGTTCAGCCGATGTTACCTTCTGTTCCAACAGCAGAGGCATCCGCTGGTGTGAAATTCCAGGTCGGCGATCTTGTTTGGTCTAAGGTGGGAACCTATCCTTGGTGGCCTTGTATGGTGTCCAGTGACCCCCAACTTGAGGTGCACACCAAAATTAACACAAGAGGTAAGAAGAGGCATGAATGGGTATTAAGTAAAAATGGGTATTGGGGCAAAAAAATTACTCTTAAGTGTTATGAATGTTAAAGTACATCCATGATAATATAATCTGACACCACAGAAATACGTATGTGTGTGTGCACACTCGTGGTTAGTTGTTCCAGCTCTTTGAGACCCCATGGACTGTAGCCCACCAGGGTCCTCGTGTCTGTTGGATTCTCCAGGCAAGAATATTGGAGTGGGTTGCCATTTCCTCCTCCAGGGGATCTTCCCGATCCAGGGATAGAACCTGCATCAATGTCAGTTTTTGATGAACAGTGTAATAACAACGGTTATCTTAACTGGCAGAGAGGCTCTACAGCTGACATAGTCCTTGTTTTCCCTTGAAACATCCTATGTTTGTTTTATAATTTCTTTCACGCTTCTTTTTTAAAAACAAACCTACCTTAATCTGACTGTCCTCTCGTATGAATTCCAAAAGAAAGCAGACCTATAAGTAATGAGACACCTTATGTGAGCTTAAAGACATTTGGGCCAAGCTTTCTTTGAACATTTTTATTTCATCTTTGACACCTATGGGTACTAATTTTTTATTCAAAGAGGTGCTTTTCATCCTGATAAATTTTGCAAGATAGTTTTCTCCTCCTTAACTCCCATTTTATTTTGGGGAGTTTTGTTTATTTTTAATTAAAAACTTTCTTTGCACTCCATTTTCGAATCTGTAAATTTACTGAGACATTCCTAAATATTTAAGTGATAAATAAGTATACTTTGAATGGCATAAAATCCTACCTTAGGAATGTTAATAAATGTTAAGAAGATGTTTGACCAAAATCTGTACGGTAGATTCCTAGGAATGGACTTGCTTATTAGTAGCCAAAGGAAGGTTGGAGTTTGGAATTTATTTCTGGATATTTGCTTTGTGGAATCACTTGTCAAGTCCCTTATTGCCTGTGACAACTTTGCACCTTTTTTTTTTTTTTTCTGTCATTTTAAACTTCCTATATTGGTGCCTGTTCACTGTTATGAGGAGAAAAAAGGTCCGACAAGTCAGATTTGTGATGAGATCTGCCATATTTGCAATTCTTATGCTACCCAACAAGGGATCCAACCAGATGCAGAAGACAATCATCTTGTCATTATAGTGTACTGATTAATGGTTGGGGAGACTGGAAGCACCAATGGGGCAGAAGTTTTTAAAAAAGCAACATTACCTACTGTATAGCACAGGGAACTCCGCTCAATGTTACATGGCAGGCTGGATGGGAGGAGAGTTTGGGGGAGAATGGATACATAGATATGTAGGGCTGAGTCCCTTTGCTGTGCTCCTGAAACTATCGCAGCATTGTTAATCAGCTGTACCCCAATACAAAATTACAAATTTTTTTAAAAAGTATATTGTTGAATGTCCACTTTTGTGCAAGGCACACTGTTAAACAATTCTTTTATAGGACTTCCCTGGCTGTCCAGTGGTTGAGACTCTGCACTTCCAATGCAAGGAGTGCAGGTTTGATCCCTGGTCAGGGAACTAAGAGCCCACATGCTGTGTGGCATGGCAAAAAAAGAAACACACACACACAAGAAACAACTCCCTTGTACGTGTTCTTAAGCAGCGCTCATGGCATAAACAGTGTGAAGCAGGGCCTAATATCACCTCACTTCAGATCTGTGAATAGAGTCTCAAAGAAATCTTCTTCCATCACCTTCACTCTTAACCACTAGTGTATATATAAAGGGGAGAACGTAACTGAACCCCCTGCTCATGAGTTACAGAGGCCGAGGAAGGCAGTCCCAGTTCCTTCATTTATAAAGTAAGAGTGTTGGACTGCTGGTCTCTGAAGTGCCTTGCACTTTTACTAATCTGTGAGTCTTAAATGAGAGAAGACAGGGCAAGGACTTCTCAAGAGGGACAAGCCTTTTCAGGTGAAGCGGTGTGTGTCCGGGCCTCCAGAGTGCTCTGAAATCCTGCATGGCGTGGGAGCTGTGGTTCCTCAGTTCTCTCCCCTTAGGAAACCATCCTTTGGGGATTATATAAAGAATTTTGTTTCTGGTATACAAAGGAAAGTACAATTTATGCCTCATCTTGTATTTCAAAGGAAGTATTTGCATTCATTTTATGAATTAATCTGGTCTGGTCCTCAGTACTTTAGTGCTAGAAAAACTGAGTTTTGTTTGTACTGTTGAGGAAACCGAAATCTGAGAATTTAGGTTTGAAAAATGTACCTTCTGATAATATCTTCAATTTTCTCTTTTCTGCAGTAGTTTTTGAAGTAATAGCCTTCCTGAGATATGTTTTACGTGCCATAAAATTCACCCTTTTAAAGTGTGCAATCTGGTGATGTTTAGCACATTTACAGAGTTATGCGGCCATCACCACGATCCGATGGGCTTCCCTTGCAGCTCAGTTGGTAAAGAATCCGCCTGCAATGCAGGAGACCCCAGTTCAACTCCTGGGTCCGGAAGATCCACTGGAGAGAGGGATAGGCTACCTACTCCAGTATTCTTGGGCTTCCCTGGTAGCTCAGACGGTAAAGCATCTGCCTGCAATGCGGGAGACCTGGATTTGATCTCTGGGAAGGGAAGATCCCCTGGAGGAAAGCATGGCAATCCACTCCAGTATTCTGGCCTGGAGAATTCCATGGACTATTCCATGGGGTCGCAAAGAATTGGAAGTGACTGAGTGACTTTCACTTTCACCACAATCTAATCTTAAAACTTTTTTCATCAACATAAAAAAGAAATCCCATATCTATTAGCAGTCACTCCTCATCCCCCACTTCCACCCCCCAGCCCTAAGCAACCACTGACTACTTTTCATCTCTGTAGATTTGCCTTTTCTGGACATTTCATATAAATCAAGTCATACAATATGAGGTCTTTTAGGTCTGGTTTCTTTCACTTAGCACCATGGTTAGAAGTTCATCTGTGTTGTCTCTTTTTATTGCGAGATAATATTTCATTGCATGCCTGTGCAATGCAGTTTTAAATGAAGTAGATTTTTGACAGTTTTTCTGAAAACCAGAAACACAATATAAAACTTGATTTTGTTGATTACACTCTACACGTGATACCTGAGAAGCATTTTGTGTGGCTTATTATCTAAACTGCTTTGTAAAATTAACCTTGAATTTTATACAGTAATCTTTGGTTTCCATATTGTTTTTAGTCAGTATTGCTATTAGTCAGATTCTTAGCATTGGAAAACATAGTTAACGGTTTTCACACATTAAGAGAGAATTCTTTGAAAAGCACATTGAAAAAAAAAAGAAAAGCACACTGAAAGATGTTTGGATCACATACCTATTTTAAGTTGTATTTTATCATTTAGGTCTTTCTCATTTTAAGTTTAAAAGTTAAAACTGAAATGCTTTTTCTGTTTATAACAATGCATTTGGTCAGAAGCCAGAGGTGCCCAGTCGTCTCGTCCTCCAGATATGGAACTTCATTCTATATGACAAACTCTAGGTTTATCCAATATGATAAAATTAACTATTAGAGAAATGAAAGGCCTCCCCTTTCCAAAAAAAAAAAAAATATATATATATATATATATATATATAGTACAGGATCCCTGGGGACTTCCCAGGCAGCACTAGTCCTAAAGAACCCTGCCTGCCAGTGCAGGAGATATAGAGATGCAGATTTGATTCCTGGGTTGGGAAGATCTCCTGGAGGAGGGCATGGCAACCTACTCCACTGTTCTTGCCTGGAGAATCCCATGGACAGTGGAGCCTGCAGGCTGCGGTCCATAGGGTCACACAGAGTCAGACATGCCTGAAGCCACTTAGCACACATGCACATACAGGATCCCTGATTGTGAGCCTATATATCTTGCAGTGTCAAATTATCATTTGACACTAGAGGCTCACTTTTAGCGTCTCTGTTTTGTAGCACACTTGTCCTAGGAACCACAGTCTCAGAGTAGCACCACTGGAGAGCTATGGTTCTCAGATGTTTTGGTCCCCAAACCCCTTTTACTCTTCAAATATGAGGACTCTAAACACTTTAGCTTTATATAGGTTATATCTATTACTTTTTATGTTAATTTAGAAGTTAGAGCAGAGAAAAATTTAAAATATTTACCAAGTAGAAAAAAATCTACTCTCTGTTATATGCAAAAAAGTTCATGTTTTATGAAAAATATTTTCTCAAGCAAAAAAATTGAGAATGGTATTTTTACATTTTTGCCAATTGCTTAACTGAAAACACTAGATTCTTTTTATCTGCTTCTACATTCAGCCTATTATGGTTTGTTGCTTTGAAGAAAAGGAAGATAATCTGGCTTCACACATATGCGTAGTCAGAAAAGGGAAGTGTTTTAATAGCCTTTTCAGATAATTGTGGACCTATTTCTTTGATATTACACCCAAACTCAGCAAGAAGTATGTTAGTTGCAGTATGGAATCTGAAATCCTGTCAATAAACTTTTTGTACTTCGTTACATTAAAATCCCTTGGTTCTGTCTTATACTTTAAGTGGATCGTTGCCTTTTATCACACTTAGTAACATCATATATTAGCCATTTAAAACATATTTTATGCCTATCTTCCAAATGTTGACACATTCCTTTATAGATGGTCTTAAAAAATCACATTCTTTAAGTCACCACTTATTTCATCAGAAAATTCTTTGATTACTGAGAAGTTGGAAAATTCCTAGGGACAGATGCTAGTTTTCCAATATTCTAATTTTTCTTGAAAGATCAAATTTTATTATTGGCAACAAACACTATCAGTTGTTTTTCTTGAAGTGAAAAACTTGTTTGTTCATTTTTGAGAAAATATCTGCCACACTCTCAAATTCCAATAACCTAGTTTTCCTCACAGTCATTCTTTCAAGTAAAAATGGTGTTTTGTGAAGAGGTGGCCAGGTCACCATGCGGTTCAATCACAGAAGTTTTCCCCCCTTGACAGCTGTCATAGCGAGGCACACAGATGTGATTTACACCCTCCTGTGTCCTCACGCAGGATGTGAGAGAGACACATGTTCCAGGGTCGAGGTGAGGTTGTTGTTCAGTCCCTCAGTTGTGTCCGACTGTTTGCGACCCCATGGACTGAAGCGCGCCGGGCTTCCCTGTCCTTCACTATCACAAACTCAAAGGGTTGAGATGTAATTAAATTAATCATTTTTACAGCTTCATCAAGGGCATTAAGTAAAACTGGCCTTTTTTTTTTTTTTTAAACTGCCAGCGTGTGACTGTGAAGGATGCAACACCAGTGTAATTTGGAGTCACTCGCTGCCTTTTTTTGTGCTGAGATAACCAGCAGTCTGACCCAGCATTGCTTTTGCCGTATTGACTGCACATGTGAACATCTCAAAAAAGACACCTTCTTCATTATAATGACGAAGGTTTTGACCTCAGTGGGAGCCTGAGGATCTCTGCAGCCTCTCCTCTTCTCCTGGGTCTGTGCGCCACGCTTTTCAGTTCAGTTCAGTCGCTCAGTCGTGTCTGACTCTTTGCAACCCCGTGGACTGCAGCATGCCAGGCCTCCCTGTCCATCACCAACTTGCAGAGCTTGCTCAAACTCATGTCCATCGAGTCAGTAATGCCATCCAACCATCTCATTCCCTGTCATCCCCTTTTCCTCCTGCCTTCAGTCTTTCCCAGCATTAGGGTCTTTTCCAAGGAGTCAGTTCTTCGTATCAGGTAGCTAAGTATTGGAGTTTCAGCCACACTTTTATGTCAAGAGAAAAGCAGTTTGATCAGCTCTTAGCTTTTAAAAGTCCAAGAAAATATGCCTTTTTTGAAGGAAAAATTATTTACTTATACCCAGATTTGTTTGTAAAAAAAGTTTGAGGCCTGTGAAAATACATTGTGTAACCAAGGTAACAAATCTGATAATGAGCAGAATATTTGTAATATTCTTTTCTTCTTAAAACTCACTGTACTAATTTTAATTGTTTGAGGTGATTTTTATAGTAGCTATTAGTTGTGTCATTGGTAGATCTTTGGATGATCCAAAAATTACAAGTTTTAATAAGAGTAAACCAGGGAACCCAGCTTAGGTTCACATTTTTGGCAAAATATATGTGGCTGCTTATGCTGTGAAATGGCTAACGAGAATTTTTGCTTGCAGGTGCCCGGGAGTATCACGTCCAGTTTTTTAGCAACCAGCCAGAGAGGGCGTGGGTTCATGAAAAGCGGGTCCGAGAGTATAAAGGCCACAAACAGTATGAGGAACTACTGGCTGAAGCGACCAGACAAGCCAGCAATCACTCTGAAAAGCAGAAGGTAACTGATGACATAGAAGGATGGTCAACTGAACGTGGATTTTAAAGGAATTAATAATTTAATAGAGCTTTTCGTACTTGAATTCAGGCAATTAGAATGATTTATTTTAGTCCTCTAAGTTCAATTTTAATAATTTATTATCACTGTGTCAAATTCTACATATCACATAAACAGCATCGCAGTCCTCTCAAAAACTTTTTCTGCTTAATACAATTTTGGCTTCTATTTTTATTTGAATTCAGATGTATAAAGTGTAATAGATGCTAGTGAAATGTGACTATTGTCAGAGATTTCTATTCTTTTCATTTAATTTTGGCATCCTGCCCTAATTCCCCTTTATGCTTGTTTAGCAAAATTGTTCTATGAAAGTAAAGTTTAAAAAATATTTAGTACTTACACTGAGACAGGCACTTTTTTAAGCATTTTATTTATGTGTTAATCCATTTACTCTTCATTACAATGTCAATGAGGTGTAGATACTATTATTCCTATTTCTATGGATGAAGAGATTAAGGCACAGAAAGCTTGAGTAGTCACTTCAGCCAAGGTCACATTAGTGATGGAACCAAAGATGATGTGGTGGTGGACGTATTAGAATTTGGACCTGTACTCTTGATAGTATGTCTGGTCAAGATTTTTTAACTCAACTAATTTAGTGTGGGCCTCTGGTGATTCAGAAACATGTTCTGTTTTCACAGTAAGCTAAATATTATTTCAGAGGATTTTGATGACTTTTATCAAGTATTCTGTAACATGTTACAAATTCAAATGTCAGTGTTTGACACATACTATACTGTCTGATGGTTCCATTAGCTAATTTCTGGCTCCCTCAGTCTAAGCTCCCTGGCTAATTCCTACTTGCTTTGGTCATTCACATACCTTTATTCAAAATTTTCTTATCTGTCTTGCCAATCCAGCCGTCTGATCAGGACTGTGGAAACTGTGATTCAGGTTTTTTCTCCCCCATTACGTTCCTGTCGTCTCATGTCTCGTCGACGGTCACGTGCTCCTCGGGGCTCCTCTTCCTCTGCACCCTGTTTGCATCCTGGCACAAGCCGGCCGCATAGCTCTAAACGCTGGTTCTCTGCCCCTTCCTTAGCTCTGCTGTGGTCTGTGCAGCACCCCTGAGCTTGAGGGTGACGTTTTTAATGTTTGTGTTTCCTAGGCCACTGAAAGCAATCATTTCTGTCACCTTCCTTCTCTCCGCCATCATCATTGCTAGCTTTTTATGACTGTGATGTGAAGAGGACAACTCCTTGGAGGGACTCGTCCAGCAGAGTGGGCGACAGGGAAGGGTTTACCATCAGAAAGAGTGGACCTGCGTGTCCTCGGTAGTAGCACGGATCCATCAGAATACAGGCTCAGAACATTTCCTTTATTTGCCTGAAGACCCTGAAGGTGTGTATGCACACCTGGAAAGACTATAAGACCGCATGGGAAATAGGCATGGGTTTCAGTGTCCCTGTTGGAATAAAGTGTTAGTCGCTCGGTCTTGTCCGACTCTTTGCGACTCCATGGACTGTAGCCCACCAGGATCCTAGGTCCATGGGATTCTCCAGGCGAGAATACTGGAGTGGGTTGTCATGCCCTCCTTCAGGGGACCTTCCTGACCTAGGGATCAAACTTGGGTCCCCTGCATTGCAGGCCGATTCTTTACCAACTCCGCCACAGGGAAACCCAGTTAGAATAAAGCGTGTTCCTTACTGCCTGCATCTTTCTTTGCAGATTCGGAAACCACGGCCTCAGAGAGAACGTGCCCAGTGGGACATCGGCATTGCCCACGCAGAGAAGGCACTGACCATGACCCGGGAGGAGAGGATAGAACAGTATACTTTCATCTATATTGATAAACAGCCCGAGGAGACTCTGTCCCAAGCTAAAAAGAACGTTGCCTCCAAAGCCGAAGTGAAAAAGCCCCGAAGACCAAGGTCCGTGCTCAATGCACAGCCAGAACAGATCAATGCCGGCGAGGCGGCCTCCTCGCCCTCAGGTACTGAAATGCGGAGACACAGCCAGCGGCGGCACACTGGCGTGGACGAGGATGACCCGCCTCCCGTGAAAGTGGCCTGGAAAACAGCGGCAGCGAGGAAATCCCTACCAGCGTCCATCACCATGCACAAAGGGAGCCTGGACTTGCAGAAGTGTAACATGTCTCCCGTGGTGAAAATTGAACAAGTGTTTGCTCTGCAGAATGCTACAGGAGATGGGAAATTTATCGATCAGTTTGTTTATTCGACGAAGGTATCTCCTTTTCTCATGGGTTTTCTAGGGGAAGCCAGGTGTCTAGTAAGTAGTCAGTGTTGGCATTTAAAAAAAAACAACCCAGATAACACAAGATCATCATCTAAATACCCTTTGTATTCACCGCACTTGAAATGTACAGTCAGTTTACTATGTTTAAGATGGGGGCAAAAAGGACATAGGCAAAAAGGCTTTGTTTTCCTTCTTTTCCCCCCCTCTTTTGTAATATCCCCATCTGTACTAGATTAATCTTGAGCTGTGCAGCCAAAATTGAGCTCAGCTCCCTAAAATCATGGGAAAAAAACTGGGCACTTTGCCCGTTTCTAGTTTGTGTGGTTAGGTTTTTTTTTTTTTAGTTGCAAAGTATGCTTCTGATTAAATCATCTCTGTCATTTATCTGAATTAACCATTGTAATCATTGTACCTCCTGATCCGTTTGGTGGCACCAGCAATTTGTTTGGCTCATGTTGGCTTGGGGTGCTCATGCGTTTTAGGGAAATACCAGAGCTGTGTGTGTCCTGTCACAGTGAACCGTGGTGATAGCTTGGGTAGGGGCATGAATGCAGCCTCTTCACACAGAATGCCTTCCTCAGCCAGCCCTGGACCTCCAGTCAGGGTGCTTACAGTTTAAGGCTTTAAAACTTGTATAACATTTGTCATTTTTAATATACCTCTTCACTACCCTCCCAGCCCGCCCCACAACTGTGGGCTTGTGTATTTAATTTAGTGGCTCCTCATGGTTGTAAGGGCTTCCTTCGTGGCCTGCCAATGCAGGAGACCTGGGTCAAGAAGATCCCCTGGAGAAGGAAATGGCAACCCACTCCAGTATTCTTGCCTGGAAAATCCCATGGACAGAGGAGCGTGGTGGGCTACAGTCCATGGGGTTGCAAAAGAGTCGGACACAACTTAGCAACTGAGCACACACGCATGGATGTGTACAAGTTTTGAAAAATTCTGTGGTTATTTCTTAACAGTGTCACATGCTCATTAAAATAATTAAATATAGGGATGCCTCATCAGTGATATATTTTCCCAAGGTGTAAATGTCCTCTGTTAACCTGTTTCTGCCTACAGAGTCAACTAATTTCACTAAGGCGAAGCTCCTTGGAAAAACTTAATTTATAGTCCCTGTTTGGTTCTGTGAACAGCTTTGACTAGCAAATAAATCCTTTGCGTGCTTTTTGAATGTGAATTGGCTTCATTCTTGGAGCTGGTTTTTATCTGCTTTGGGATGCACAAGTCAAACTTGGTCACCCCCCTCCAAAGAGTGCTATTTAAATGAAATTTGAGGTAAAACTGACCTTTTAAAAATGAAGGCTTTAAAAGTACATATAGTATATTTATAAATCACTGTTTTATTTCACTGCATTAAAAAATACCTAAAATGAGAACAAAACCGAAATTAGCAACTTCTGTCTGTTCCAAGTTGTTTGTTGGGTGCACATTTTGGTCATACTTCTGTAATCTAAGGAGAGTCTTGTCTTTCAAAGACACATTGGCATTTTTATCCATATAGTAGGGTACTTTACCACATTAAAATGGCTACAGTTCTCTTACTGTGATGTGGGTAAAGGAAGAGACCATTCAGACCAGAAAATGTTTTGGTTTTGACAGAAAAATAGGTGGTACAGGGGTTTTTTTGTTTTGTTTTTTTAGTGATATTCATCATCTGGGCTTAACAAATAGTTTTTTTTTTCCCCCCGAATAATCTCATCATATTAGAATACAACCTGATGACTTAATAAAATTGCTCTGATAATGGCTAGGATAATAAAGTAACTGCAGTCAAAAACCGTATAAAATCCAAGCACATTATGATGGTCTTAAGCCATCTTTATAAGCCAACGATGCCATTTGTCTGGTAATCACCTGTTTGTTTTTTTTTAATTTGCCTTATTTTGAAGGGAATTGGTAACAAAACAGAAATAAGTGTCAGGGGACAAGACAGACTTATAATTTCTACACCAAACCAGAGGAATGAAAAGACAACTCAGAATATGTCGTCTCCTGAAGCAACAACTGGTTCTGCAGGTGGGTATGAGTATAGAGTACACAGACCCATTTGAGGTCTTGGTTCTGCTGGACTGTCACATGGCAACTGCGTTCCTAGGAAACCTTCATTATCAGAATCAAGTTATATTTTTAAAAACTCAAATTATAAAGGCAATTATTTCAATAGGAGAGAATGGCTTAGGGACCAAAGAGCTTTATTGATAGTAACAATGATAGTTATTTTTCCTATAGGAATTTAAATAATAGGATTCTATGATGAAAAGAGTATAGTTATAAAATCTATACATATCTGACTTAGATGCATCATTTGATGATCTCTCTGCATGAAAATAATGGCTTTACCTTTTCTAGCACTATTGACACACACTTATTATTTCCTCCTTTATCCCCTGTGGGACACAAATTGGTGGATGCCCACGCTTTTTCCATTTCCCTTAGGTGTGCCAGATGTCGGTAGCTGAGGGTCTTGGGCCTAACTCTCTTATTAGAATCTTCTCTGATTAACAGATAGCTTGAATTGAAAACCAAGATACATTAGTGTTACTCAAAGAAGAAATGCCTGTATTTAGTAAGATTGTGCCTTTGGAATAGGCAAAGGCTGACTTGTAGCTTAAATTGAGTGTCTGGTTGGTTTGGTTTATATAACAGTATACTGCTGCATACAGCTGTCAAGAAAAGAGTTAGATATCAACTAACTTGATCATTTGAAATCAAGGAGAAATCATTGAAATCATAGAAGAAAGGAGTATGTTTCACTTTGTTCTTTTTTTTTTTTTTCTTAATTTTGCTAAAGTATAGTTGCCTTAAAACAGTGTTGTGTTGTTTTTTACTGTATAGCAGAGTGAACCAGCTATATATATACGTATATCATCTCCCTTTTGGACTTCCTTCCCTGTTCTTTTGAAATTTTTTTGGAATCTTAAGAAGTGACCAAATAATTGTCCAGAAGGATTAAAGTCTTGAGACCCGAGGTAGTAATCTTAGCTCAATAATAACTCAGGCAAACCTGTAATTGAGGGGCACTAAGAGAGAAATATTTTTGTAAGGGAAGTTTTGAGTTAAAATTCTTCTTCTTACAAAAGTTAAATAAAAGCAAACATTATTCAGGAAAGAACTTGGGCTACTCTTCTTTTTTAAAAAAGTGACAAGCCTGCGGGATGGGGTGAGGTGGTGGCATATACAGGGTGGGGCAGAGTCAGTAGGAAGCCTTCATCCAGCAGCGAGTTGGGAGAGGAGGCTGCATTCAAGGAGAGAGTAGCCAAGTCCAGAACCAGACTTGCAACTTGTGTCATTTCAGAATCCTGTACAAAAAATGAAGTTACAATGTTGAAGCAATGAATAATGGACTTAGAAGATCCTGCATTAATTAGCCATAGTTGAACGTTTTTGTTACCTTCTTAGATGCCACAAGACGGTTGGCCTCAGCACTTTGTGGTTAGGTCCAGGTTTTGTCATCTTTACACTAAACAGGTGGTAATTTGTCTGAATGTCAGCATGATACTTAACACTAGGAGGATCACTAAACATCTGTTTTCTCCGAACTGGGGAGAAAGTAAATTCTGCATAGAATATTAGATTGATCTTCAATATTAAATTTTGACTTTTAATGAAGCTTGGTGTTTTCTTCCCCTCAGCTACTGAACATTTTATCTTCATGTTGTCCTTTGCATTTAAGTTCTCCTGTGAATTTTCTTCTTTCCTTTTTTTATTTTTTTAAGCTGTGGAAGGTTGTAATTCTTTTTTTTTTTTTATAATTTTATTTATTGTTGGCTGTGCTGGGGCTTCGATGCTGCGCAGCTTTTCGCTAGCTGCAGAGAGCAGGGGCTAGTCTCTACTTCCGGCGCGCGGGCTTCCTGTTGCGGTGGCTACTCTTGTTGCGGGGCACGGGCTCCAGAGCACAGGCTCAGTAGTTGTGGCCCAGGGGCTTACTTGCCCCGAAACATGTGGGATCTTCCCAGATCAGGGATCAAATCCGTGACCCCTGCACTGCCAGGCGGATTCTTTACCACTGAGCCACCAGGGAAGTCCAGTCATTATTCTTTATATCAAGAAAAAAAGTTCAGTTTCTTCCCCAGGCAGGCATATGTAGTTAGACCGTAAATGACTTTCATGACCTTACTTTAGAGATGAGAGGTCTAAAGCTTTGACCTTGGTTTCAATTTGGTTGCCACCTATAGCTAATAAACATATTTTGTCTCCTTAAATGACCGTTTTGCTCCTTGTGAAAATAGCTTCTGTGGTTGAAAAGTCAGAAGAGACACCTGGTCTCCCTTCAGAAACCGATTGCATCATCATCATCTCAGTTGGTGTTAACTACTCATGGAGAATTCTCAGGCTTTTTCTTAGTTAATTTAGGTGCTGCATAGACTGTGGCGCTGCTGCTTTTCTGTGGTTTGAGGAATCATATTTGCTTTTATACAAGATCTCTATGCTATTTTCCAAATCCAGAGATGCTCACTTCTTATCCCTTAGAACATAAACAGAATACTTTTTCATTGTCTAGGGTTTTTTTTTTTTTTTCATTATTGGAGTTTTGTTGGGGGTTTTTTTTTTTTAGCTGTGCCACATGTCATGAATGATCTTAGCTCCCTGACCAGGGATCCAACCCATGTCCCCTGCAGGGGAAGCATGGAGTCCTAGCCACTGGACCACCAGGGAATTCCCATTTTTAGTATTTTTGTTTTATCTAAATTTTATTTATTTATTTTTATTTTTGGCTGAGCTGGGTCTTCGTTGATGCACGTGGGCTTTCTCTAGTTGTCGTGAGCGGGGGCTCCTCTGTAGTTACAATGTGTGGACTTCTTATTGCAGCGGCTTCTCTTGGGGAGCACGGGCTCCAGGCATGCAGGCTTCCGTAGTTTTGCAGCTCGCGGGGTCTAGAGCACAGGCTCCGTAATTGTGGCACACAGGCTTAGTTGCTTAGCAGCATATGGGATCTTCCCTGGACCAAAGGATCAAACCGGTGTCCCCATGCATTGCAAGGCAGATCCTTAACCACTGGGCCACCAGAGAACTCCAGTGTTGTTTTTAAACGTAGTAGAGTTTATATGTTCTTTGGGTAGCTTTCAGAATAATTTGAAGGAGTCACCCCATTGCCTTATCTTTACAAGATAATAGATCAAATATCATTTGCCCTTGATGGAACAATTATATGTTGTCATCCTCAAAACAAGTAAAGATTTTTGTTTGTTTGTCTTATGCAGTTCTAGTTTCATTTTCCTCTTTCCTGGTAGGTACTTGAATATTGATAACTAAACTGAAATGCAGGTCTCTGGAATACTCAGGTGTCTATGAGGGTGGGATGGATGCCTGTTGTTTTAGTTAACGTTTCCATCAGTGTGAAGAGAAAAGTGAGAGTAAAGGACACCTTCATTGTGTGACTTCTATGCTAGAAATTAATTAAGCACAGCTCAGAAACAATACGTTATCGTCAAACTGCCTGCTCCCGCCCCTGAAAAAGGAATGGGATCCTTCTTTGTTTGGGCTTTGAACAAAGGTGAGGAGAACTGTTTCCCCATAGACAAGACTAAGGAAACCAGGAAGTATACAGGTGATGTGAACACTTTATGGAGGTAGCTTCTGCAAGGTGATTATCATCTAGCGAGGGCTGATTTAGGTGGTCCAAGTGCTGAGAAGATAGAGAACAGCTGTGCTGAAAGGGTTCTTCCTGCTTTGGGTCACAGAGTGAACCATTCTGGGGTCCATTCCTGACTTAGCATTTTCTCACACTGTGGCCTTAAATGTCAGTTTTATCCTTCCCAAAATGGGGTCGCAGAGTTGGATACGACTGAGCGACTGAGCTGAAATGATGTGAGTTTTATTGCAAAGACTCTTACTGTTTAAAAACCTTCTTAGCCATTTAATATTAACAGGCTTGAAAATTTTTTCTATTAGTTTTCCATGACTAATTATTTCTAAAGGATTCCAGTCCCTTGATAGTCAAATTAATGATTCATTGTTCGTCACATTTTTGTGTTTTTCCTCCTTTTTTCTCTTTGGTTGTTAATAATATGACAATAGTACAACCAGCAGCCAGCCCTGTTAAGCATTTTAAAGGTAGAATTAATTTATTTGTTAATGCAAAATACATAATACTGAATAAATTTTGAACCATTACTTCCTAATGTCAACTGAGAATACAGTCGTTTTTATACATTCCCGCCATCCCTTCATCTCTTCACTTATTATTACCTACGTGTGTTTATCGTCTGTTTTAGTTTGACTATATAATTTTTTAAAACCTAATCCCTCTTTATTTGTATAGTTCAGGGTCTTTCATGAATCCTAGTCTCAACTTACCAGCCTTTACAATTTAATCTACAATTTTTTGTGTACTCCCAAGTGTTTTAATAGTTTTTAATGATTGTAATTAAAAGACCAAAAGTAATGGATGAGAAAAGCAGGGAATTTGGTCAGATCTTAATTATTTAAATGTCAAGGCATCCTCAAATGAGTTTTTATTTGCTTGTTTAAATTATCTTTTAGGCTCAGTAGAAAAGAAGCAGCAGAGAAGATCAATTAGAACTCGTTCTGAATCAGAGAAATCCACTGAGGTTGTGCCAAAGAAGAAGATCAAAAAGGAGCAGGTTGGCTTCCTACCTGTAGAGAGTTAGAACCTTGTATTTGTCAATGTTGTGGCTTATATTGGTACCTTAAAAGGAGAGACCTCCCCAACACTGGATTTCCCTTCTGGACTACGTCATGCTTCTGCCCTGATGAATTCCAGTACCCAGTTCTAAGACAGCATCCCTGTGATTCTGCTTCAAGCATTTTCACAAAACACAGTCAGGCTTCAGGAGATGGGAAACCACTGGTCCAAGACTTTTAAAAATTCCTCTCGTTTATTTTGAATTTTCTGTTATGAGCAAAATGATTTCGTGTTTTCATGATTTTTATTTGGAACCATCTCTGAGGTCCCCCCCCCCTTTTTTTTTTTAATTTTAATTTTTGACCTAAGCTGCTAATATGTGTTAATTTTATTTTTTAAACAAATCAAATTAATTTAACTGTACGAGTTTTAGTTAAGAAACATAACCATAGATGATCTGGTTTTTCTGCTGGTATCACAGATTTTTTTGGAATGTTGTTTTCCCTGTAGAATGGTACTCACCTGTTATTGGGTTATTAGATACACACTGTTTAAGTTAAAAAAGGGAGGGGCACGTTGACTGAAGGGTATTCAACCAGTGTAATCATTGTAGTACAGGCAGACTAAGTTACATTTTCAAAGAAGTTTTTAGAAACCATTACTTCTTTAACTTAAGCTCACAATTTTTCTTCATTGTTTAAAGTAAAAAGATACCCATTTTTACAGACCGGGCAGCTGCTATTAAACAAAAAGAATTGTGAGTAGTATTAGTTCCCATAAGCTTTCTATTTTAAAAACCCCTCAAATACATTTAGAAGAATGTGGAGTTTTCTACTTAAATGATTTCTTTCAGAATTTTAAACTTCCAAACTTGAGGTGATTTTGTGGGTGCGTCATGGTATCAGCAAGCATGTAAAACAATTTTCTTAGAAATCGTTTAACACAGATTTAAATAGTATACTAATTTGACGTTCTTTTATCATCATTAGCTTTCATACTTAGGAAATTATATTCCAATAAATCTTTCTAAGCTCTTGCAGGTCTACAGTATTCCTTACCAAAATGAAGTTGCGAATTTGCCAGCTGGTTCCCCAGTTCAGTCTGTGACCAACCAGACTAAAATTAATAAAGAGAATGAGTACCAAAAAATGGGACAGATTGTTAATGCCACTGTGTTTAGTTAGTAGCAGAACAATACCAGTGATTATTTAGAAGATTTTATATTTGTATCGCCAATTGTATCTTGTAAAAGCTCTTCTGTTGTATGCTTTTTTTCTACCTGTTGTAAAAAATAAAAAATAAAATAAAATTTTAAAAAAGCTTAGAATAATCCTTAAATATTTACAGACTGTGTTGCAACATGCATATTTCACCACATCTCAAAGAAAACTAAAATTCAGTTTGTAGCTTAAGCAGGAACTCCTCCAAAGAGCATCCTTCCCTCAATTCCAACGGTTTAGCCCTCCAGTTACCATGCGTTGTAATATCCATTGACAGAGTAACTTCTGATCTCTCTGTCCTAATGTAGGATCAAGACACTGTTTATAAGACACTCAAGAAAGCGCTTTTGCAATATCGCAAACTTAAGTTTGTACTAGCAGCAAAAGTATTGAGCTTCCAGCTCTATGGAGCCCCATAGCACTCTACAGAGAGGGTCCTGATCCCCAGCAACTTAGATGTCAGTGCAGGCGCGGAGGGTCTTTAAAGTGGTGTGAGTTTCATTAACCTGAGTATCATAGTAAGTAAAAACTTTACCCTAAACATCTTTGGGGCGGGTGGAGTTTACAGCAACCCCGGGGCTGCTTGTACAAACAATGCCTCTCCTGCCTCCCAGATGTGGAGAAAAGCATCGGGGTTGTCTTCAGGCACCGAGGAAGCAGTGGGAGAGGGCTGCCTAAGCGCACGTGGCTGAGTGTTGCCCCTTGGTGCCCAGCACAGGCAGCTCAGACTGAAACCCTCCCTGACCCTGAGACAGCTTTACCCAGAGAACGGGACCACGTCCAGATTTCAGATGTATTCGTTGCTCATCGTTACTCATATTGATGGCCGTATTATTCCCCCCCCCGCCCCCCGTTAATTTGGCAGAAGAAAAAAAAATTCCCCACTCATGCTATATTTTTCTGTCCAAAACAGGTTGAAACAGTTCCTCAGGCTACAGTGAAGACTGGATTACAAAAAGGTGAGTTGTTTATAATGTTGCTCTGCATTTTCCTCAATTAAAACCAATTTTAAAGACTTCTTCGTACTTCATGTATTTTTGTGTGTCTCTGTAAATCATTGTTGTCGCTCTTCAGTCGATGATTCGTGTGAAGCTGAAGCATTCCCCTATGTCTGTGTGTGTGTGTGTGTGCGCGCGCGCCTGCCTGCGTGTGTGTCTCTTAGAGTTGATCTTACTCTGTGCCTCCATGTGAAAAGTCTTGTTCGTTTTGGTAAATTGGAGAACACCACGTAGGCTTAATACCTGTTTCCAACTTTTCTCCTTAAGATTCTGGGGTTTCACTGGTTTATAAACTAGGGATGTGACGAATCCACTTTTTTTGGTATTCGACCGAATACCGAATAGTAGCTCTGTCAATAGTTGGCAAACCTGGACTATGACAAATCAGACGAGACCACCTGATTGAAAAAAAAAAAAAATCTTGCCACGTTTATTTTTACAGTGCTGTAAAATCTTTTTTTTTGTAAATTAAGATGATTCATAGCCTACTTATGGCCATTATTTGCTGATCTTATGCAGAATCTATTTGAGATATGCACAAAGTTTAAGAAACCTTAAACTTAAGTCTGTACTTTTTGTGTGCAATTTGACTGCAGTACAAACTCCATAGCATTGATTCGTGCGTTTTTGGTGAGATCAGACTGTATTTAATGCCTGTAGTTTACTCTGGGCAAATTGCATTATTAAAAAAAAAAAACACCAGCCTCTCTGCATTCTCGGGGAGAAGTCTGCAGCGATGGTCTCCGTGGAGATCCTCAGCAGAACTGAACAGCCTCTCGGAGGGAACACTGCTTGGCGGAGCTCCAAGAAAAGACATCGCGATCGCTGCGAGATTAGGAGGCCTGATTGCGTTGTGTTTCCACCATTCCACAGGGTCGGCGGACCGGGGCGTGCAGGGCTCTGTCAGATTCAGTGACAGCTCCGTCTCCGCAGCGATTGAGGAAACTGTGGACTGAGATTCCTGTACAATTTCATCCCAGAAACTCCAGACTTGTAGTCTCCATTCAAGATTTCTTTGTCGGCGGCTCGATAAAACAGTTTCTTTGTTTTCGATTTTGATTTTGCCAATCATCACTATTGGCGTTTTCCTGCCTGGTTTCTTCTTCAAGACTCTGAACAATTGCTTTAACATTCAGATGATTTTTTTTTCTTTTGGTCTGAGCTGGATGGGTACAGCTTAAATCATGGGTCCAGCCTAAAAAAACCATCGTTTAACTTACACTGATCAATTTCAACATGGACTGTTTTTGGGGGTTTTTTTGTTTTTTGTTTTTTTCGGTTTTGCGTTTTTAAATAAAGCATCATTAATGCACATCGCAGGGTTTTGCCAAACAGCCCAAACTGTATACATTACAATCATTAAAAGCTTTTATTTTTTTTAACATTAGTGCCGTTATCATGGAGAACAGCGTGGTGGCTGCCTGTGGGCAGTCTGTCCTTTTTCTAGCATTTTCAGAAACTCATCGGAAATGGCGGTACCTGTGTTTCCCTCCGAAAGCCTCTCAGTACAGCACTCCTGTTCCTCTGTTAAAACTCCTTGTTAATCCAGTGATCTTTTAGGCCAAGGAAATATGTTGTGGTGGTGTTCTGAGTCCATACACCAACAATGAAGGAGATAGATTTGTGTACTTGTGTTTTTTTTTTTTTAATCAGCGTTAACACGGACAGGCACCCTCACTTTATAGATGTAAGGAAACCCTCAGTTGAAAACCTTGTAGGATGGGATGTGATGACGAGGTTCCGGTTAACCTGAGCAGTCTCACGAGGCCCACATCTTCCACCACAGACCGTGGCCACACACCAAGTACTGCTCCCTGCCCAGCCTTTGCGGATCTTCACTGCCCTCGGGAGACCTGTTCCTCCTGGGTCTCTTCTGGACTGCACACCTCCACCATAGCTTGCTGGGCTGATCTAAGATGTCTGTCTGTTGTATGGAAATTTTGGGGGAAAAAAAAAATTCCCAAACACAAACTGTGGGTTGAAATATTAAGCGTCTCCTTGGTTCCTTTGGTATCCACCGTGGCTGATCCACACGTTCCATCGTGGCTGTTTCTGTATAGCCTATACTGCATTAGCCTGAGAGATTGTTGCTTTGTAACTTTTTGCACTATTGTTTTGGCCGGATTTGTATTACACACAGTTTTAAAAAAAAAAATTCCACACTATTCTCTGCCTTTTTTTTTTTTTCTTCATACTTATTCCTTCCCGCACCAATTCCACACAGAGGCCTCTCATCCAGCTGTTCGTGATTCGGCTGCGCTTGAACATTGATTGTCTGTTTACAGCCCTCAGCACTGTGTCGCCTAGATGGCATGACGTATGTCGCGGTGCTGCAGCACTTGTAATGGTCACAGTACCTGCCCTTCACTGAGGAAGTCTCAGACGAACATTTGTGAACATCCAGGATTTATCTGGGGGAGGGGGGGCAATAATCATCTGAAATGCAAAATTCGGGGGAAAATGGCACTATCCGTGTACGAATCGAATACAAATCAAAGATTTGTCACATCCCTAATAAAAAAGAAGGAGGTGTCTCTGCAACCGTATTTGTAAGCTGCACAGTGTGTTGGGTTTTATGTCTTCCTTCCCCCCCGCCCCCCAAATTGAACGGCTATTTGCATTGCTCCAAATCGATCCACTGTCCTGCAGTTCTCACCAAATTGGTGTTTAGATCGGAACTTGGGCTCTGTGCCCGAAAATAGCTTTAGTGCAGGAGCTCGGAATTAAATGTTTTCAGAGAGCGGTTGTAAATTACATCACTCACCATCAGGAAGGTCAGAAGCTTACGAAGTTTTGACTCGTGACTTCAGTGTTACAAAGAGAGCTATGCTTTTTTTTTTTCTTTCTCACACTACAGATGAGTTTGGGGAAAGAAAATAACTCTCCCACAAGAAAAAATTAAAACAACAGAATGTTAAGCACTATTTTAGGATTAATTTCGGTGTGTTGTATTAAGGTGCCAGCGAGATTTCAGATTCCTGCAAACCTCTAAAGAAAAGGAGCCGCGCCTCAACCGACGTAGAAATGGCTGGTTCCACATACAGAGACACGTCTGACTCCGATTCCAGAGGGCTGAGTGACCTGCAGGTAAGTATATCCCAGAGCCTGGGCGCAGTGCCGTCTTGCTTTGCCAAACAAGTAGCCAAGTAATGCTTTGCCTGGCTCTTTTTTTTTTTTGGCGAGAATGGGGAATTGGGGAAAAAAAAATACTGGTAGTAAAGGAACCATTTTGGATATTTTGTAACTTAGGAGTCTCTTAACTTTGCTGATCTCTTAATCAGAGGTCTCCAACCTCCCTGATCTAAGGCCTGATGATCTGAGGTGGAGCAGATGTAACACACAACAAATGTAATGCACTTGGATCATCCTGAAGCCACCCCCCGCACCCCCAATCTGTGGAAAAGTTGTCTTCCATGAAACCAGTCCCTGGTGCCAAAAAGGTTGGGGGCTGTGGTTTTACAGAACAGAAGCGACGTTTGTTGTTTTTGTTTTTTTTTTCATTTTAACAGTTTCTCTCGAAACACCACACATCTGGTATCCAGGGGTTTTAGAAAGAAAGAAGAGGTTGTGGGAAGGTTTATTTGAGCAAGGCTTACTAGGATTTTCACAGCACCTAATTTTGAGGAGATTTTTGTTTTTCTTAAAAGCCTGTTCTGTTTTCCGTGCAGGCAGGCTTTGGAAAGCAAGTCGATAGCCCTTCGGCTACTGCAGAGGCAGACGCTTCTGATGCGCAGTCCATGGATTCAAGTCTGTCACGAAGAGGCACTGGAATGAGCAAGAAGGACACTGTATGTCAGGTAGGCAAGGGACCTGTCCTGCAGCTTGAAACAGTGGCCGTGATGTCCTGCCAGTAAAACGCTTCCGTCGTGTCAGAGAGGGTAGTATATTTCTTCTTCTTCTTCTTCTTTTTTTTTTTTTAATTGTATTCCTTTATTTGGCTGCACTGGGTCTTCCTTACAATATGTGGGATCTAGTTTCCTAATCAGGGATCGAACCCAGACCCCCCTGCATGGGGAGCAAGGAGTCTTAGCCCCTGGACAACCAGGGAAGTCCCAGAGAGAGTAGTATCTTTCTGAATTGCAATGTGACTTTAAAGCTACAGACCTCAAAGCCACTTCTGACTCTTTTCTTCCCTTTCGGAGTTGGAATACTTAATATTCACCTGAAACTGTGGGTCCTCACTGGGATGTTGTTGTTTAGTTGCTGAGTCGTGTCTGACTCTTTCACCACCTCGTAGACTGTAGCCCACCAGGCTTCCCTGTCCATGGGATTCTCCAGGCAAGAATACTGGAGTGGGTTGCCATTTCCTTCTCCAGGGGGTCTTCCCAACCCAGGGGTCAAACTGGAGTTTCCTTCATTGGCAAGTGGATTCTTTACTACTGAGCCACCTTGGAAGCCCCCTTCATTGTGATACTCTCTTATTAATTGGAAGTAAATGACAGATGGCTGCCTTCAAAAACATTCTCTTAAATTTAAGTTGGTATAACCATTTTTAAGGTTTATTTACCCTTTTTGAAAAATACTGCTTTGCACTGTGAAGCAAAGTTGAAGTCTGCAGATTCCAAAAAAGCAATCATCAAAGATCAAGTGTAACTTTTAAACTTTATACATATTGGGTGCAGGGAAGAGTTTTCTAGTTCAGTGGTTCTCAAAGTGAGGGCCAAGGACCAGGCGCACAGTCAGGATACTTACTGGAAATTCTCAGGCCCAACCCAGACCCACTAATCAGAAACCGTGGACCCAGCAAGCTTGTCTTCACAGGCCCTCTAGTGGTCCTGATGCCTGGGACAGTTTGAGAACCGCTGTTTTTTTTTGCCTTGTTACAGATCTGTGAAAGCTCTGGCGACTCTCTGATTCCCTGTGAGGGAGAGTGCTGCAAACACTTCCACCTGGAGTGCCTGGGCTTATCATCACCCCCCGATGGAAAGTTCGTCTGTGTCGAGTGTAAAACTGGTGAGCATCCCTATGCTGGTAGATACGGGGCGGCGGGTGGAGTATGGAGAGCCTCTGTCTCCTCTGACGGTGCACTCCCTTACGCATTTATGGAGCTCAAATCTCCTCTTCCATAGCTGTTCCAGCGATTGAGATTATTCAGTGATTAGGCTTCCTAAGACCAAAAAGAAAAAAAACAAACCAGTTAACCATATTATTGTCAGATTTCTTCCTTGACCATCAGTTCAGTTCAGTTCACTCACTTAGTCGTGTCCGACTCTTTGCAACCCCATGAATCGCAGCACGCCAGGCCTCCCTGTCCATCACCAACTCCCAGAGTTCACTCAAACTCATGTCCATCGAGTCAGTGATGCCATCCAGCCATCTCATCCTCTGTCATCCCCTTCTCCTTCTGCCCCCAATCCCTCCCAGCATCAAGGTCTTTCCCAATGAGTCAACTCTTCGCATGAGGTGGCCAAAGTACTGGAGTTTCAGCTTCAGCATCAGTCCTTCCAATGAACACCCAGGACTGATCTCCTTTAGAATGGACTGGTTGGATCTCCTTGCAGTCCAAGGGACTCTCAAGAGTCTTCTCCAACACCACAGTTCAAAAGCATCAATTCTTCGGCGCTCAGGTTTCTTCACAGTCCAACTCTCACATCCATACATGACCACTGGAAACACCATAGCCTTGACTAGACAGACCCTTGTTGGCAAAGTAATGTCTCTGCTTTTTAATATGCTATCTAGATTGGTCATAACTTTCCTTCCAAGGAGTAAGCGTCTTTTAATTTCATGGCTGCAATCACCATCTGCAGTGATTGTGGAGCCCAAAAAAAATAAAGTCTAACGGTTAGTTTCCCCATCTATTTCCCATGAAGTGATAGAACCAGATGCCATCTTAGTTTTCTGAATGTTGAGCTTTAAGCCAACTTTTTCACTCTCCTCTTTCACTTTCATCAAGATGCTTTTTAGTTCCTCTTCACTTTCTGCCATAAGGGTGGTGTCATCTGCATATCTGAGGTTATTGATATCCTTGACTGTAAAACCTATCAAATCATTGAGATGCATTTGTGTTTTGTCTAAAGAGCTGTAGAAAGTTTGTAGAGTGAGTTATTTTTCAACTGGGTTTGTGATTTTTGTGCTCAATAGGTTGGTTTAAAATCCCTTGGCTTTCATACACCAGAATATGTGTCCATCACAAACTGTAACCATGGGGAGCTGTATTTTTAGTGGAAAGATGGAGGAGCTGGAAATTGGTTTGGTGGGGGGGGTCACCATTTATTTCTTATACCCCATATGTAGACTTCCACCAGTCAAGATAATGTATAGAGAAAGAAATATGTAAATTTTTATTTCTTCCGTGTCATAGCCTCGATTCTAGGTAAAGTCATGGAAAGCAGGATGTTACCATAATGTAAATGAGAAGTCACCTGGTTGTGAGATGGCCTGGTAGTGCTTCTAGAAACCTGTTTGTATGTTCTTGTGGGTTTTATTTCGGTTTTGCTGGGAGGAACTATGAGCCAGTTGGATGTCAAGTATTTATGATATGCTGACCTTACCTTTGATACTTTATTATTTTCTTACTCTTTTCCTCCCTTTATTTGGATTCTCATAGATATTTATTTTACACTTTTTTACTTGTATACCTCAAAAAATCTTTTGTATATTCCAAATTCCATTAGAACAGTATTTTTGTTTTTAACCAAATACTTTGTAAATACCAGCTGCTCTTAATACTCAGCATTTTATCTTCTTATCTTGTTTGATCCTCATTACATTATGGGATTACTATTATTATGTCCATTTTGCAGAGTGTGAAACTGAGGTTTAGAGTATTTGGTTCCCAGCCTTGCCCAGAGTCCCAAAGACGTACATGGTGAAGTGGGGTTTGGGCCCAGGAGGCAGAGCTTGACCCCAGAGTCCTTGCTCTTTCCCGTTGCCTTCTGCCACCTTGACCCAGTAGATGGGGATCATGTATCATATATCCTGACCACACCTACACACCCTCACTTATATACACAGGCAAAAACTAAGCTACAGAAGCTGTTTTAAAGAAATAACTTTTATTTTTCCCTATGTAAGGTATCATTTTGTTGATCACATTTAGACTCCGCAGAAAAACTTTTGGACAGTTTGCCAGCTGACAGCCTCAGAGTCAGATTACCTACACATTGTTTTATTTGGCCTTCAGAATGAGTTCTGAACATGTAAACACATAACAAGCACGTACTCTTGGTTCCCTACCTTCCCTACCATGGCCTTTTTCTGAAACCCTGTCATGCAGTCACTGAGGTGCCTGGCCCAATTAAGCTTTCAAATTTTCAGCCTGTAGTTTAAATTACTGATGGGACAGACCATGTATCTCAGCATTAAAACACTCTTAGGGCTTCTCTTCTAACTCTAGAATCCAGCAGAAGTCTGCCAACAAATGTCAGATGTAATCTAATTTGGTACATATCTACTAGAAAATTTAAGGAAATTTGCTTTAAAACCAATTTAAGTCGAACAAAGTTGGAGGACTCATACTTCCTGATTTCAGAATTTACTACAAAGCTACAGTAATTAAAACAGTGTGGTATTAGCATAAAGACATAAACCAATGAAATAGATTAGGGAGCCCAGAAATAAACTGGCCTATATGGTCAAGTGATTTTTTAACAAGGGTGCAAACACTAGTCAATAGTGTTTTCAGTAAAGGGTGCTGGGAAAATTGGGTCCACATTCGTAAGAATGAACTTGGACCTTTACCCTATGCCATATATATAAAAATTAATTCAAAATGATCAAAGACCAGAACATAAGAGCTGAAATTATAAAACTCATAGGTGAAAACACCAAAAATAAATAAATAAATAAACAATCCAATTCAAAATTGAGCAAAGGACTTGAATAGACATTTCTCCAAAGAAATAACACAAATAGCCAGTAAGACATGAGAAAATATTCATTCTCATTACAAACATCATTAGTAATCCAGGAAATGCAAGAGTAACTTTTTAAAATTGCTTTTGATACATTTTTTATCACATGAAAATCAGTTGGATACCAATGTGGTACACTGCCAGCATATTAGCAATGTAAACTCAGATTCTTTAAGGTCATTTAGGAAGTTTTTTTGTTTGTTTATCAAAAGATAAACACGTTACATGTAAAAAGTATTACAGGATACATGCCTGATAAGTTCTTATACTTCCATTGTATTGTTTAAGACAAATGTGACTTTTGGATAGAAAACATTTTCATTGACCCTTTTGAATAAAACGTATAATAAGAATACTCTCTTATTCTAAAGGAAGACCATGTCCTAGTGGGACTTCCCTGGTAGCTGAGTTGGTAAAGAATCCACCTGCAATGCAGGAGACCCAGTTTGATTCCTGGGTCAGGAAGATCCCCTGGAGAAGGGGTAGGATAACTCACTCCAATATTCTTGGGCTTCCCTTGTAGCTCAGCTGGTAAAGAATCTGCCTGCAAAGCGGGAGACCTGGGTTCGTTTCCTGAGTTGGGAAGATCCCCTGGAGAAGGGAAAGGCTACCCCCTCCAGTATTCTGGCCTGGAGAATTCCATGGACTGTATAGTCCATGGTGTTGCAAAGAGTTGGACACGACTGAGCGACTTTCCCATGACCTAGTGAGGAGGGAGAGCAGTGGAATCATCCCCATGCTAGAGCCCTAAGCCTGAGTCTTACAGAGGTTTATAGCTCAGCCCTGTTAGTGTGGCGGCACCGCTTGTTACAACACTCTTTTGTTTATATTAGACTTACTTTGATCATTATGAAAGCCTGTTTCAGTTTTACATGGAGCAGTTTATGCATTAGGTAAAGCCAAATCTTTTAAACTTTAAAATAATTTTCTTTTAATTTTTTAAATTTCTAAAAGTTATTTTAAAAACAATAGTATTTCTTTCTTATCTACCCATGTGTTAAAATATAATTTGAAATTATATATATGCAATGGGACAACAGCAACCAAAAAAAACCTGCTGTTCTTTATTTCTGGAACAAAAACAATTTTTTAAAAAATTTGAACATCACAGTTTGTAAGGACTAATTTTGAAGAATTTTTATAAATCACCCAATTTAATACTGCTGTATTTTATTTCTGCAACAAAGCCAGTTAAAAACAACAACAAATATTTGAACATCACAGTTATAAGTACTGATTTTAAAGGATCTTTATGACTTAGTCAAATTGTAGTGGTTAGCTACTTCCAAAACCACATCTAACTTTCTGTAAAAAATCAAAACAAAAAACTATTTCTTGTACATTTTTTTCCTTCAGAATTTTTATAGCATCATAAGAAAAATGGGCAAAAGACTTGAACACTTCCCAAAAGGTGAATCCAAATAAATGGCCACTTACATCACACAGACACAAAATGAAAACGCCAATCCTGATTTTAAAAGGCAGATAATGAAGCTTTCGGTTATTTGCAGTTACAAACAGTACTTCAGTCAACATCCTGTTACATGTGCATCTTCTCTAACGCAGACAGCACGTCGAATGTCCAGGCCACAGAAAGTGGGTGTCTGCTTTCAGAATGGATACTGCTCTGCAGACTTCTGAGCTAGTTCTTTCCAACTTAACTCCTGCCAGCAATGTATGAGTGCCTGTTTCACCACACCCTGATCAGCAGCCAGTACTATCAAACTCTTTACATTTTTTTCCTATTTGATGACTTTTTTGAATGTTACTTGTGGTTTTAATTAGCATTTATCTAATTACTAGTAAAGTTGAGCATTTTGACATATGTTTGTTGGCCGTCTGTCTTTTTGGCTTTCTGAGAATTGCCTGTTCATACCCTTTGCCAACTTTTATATTAGGCCATTTCTATATTGATTTATAGTTCTTTATAGTGGTTCAGTTGCTAAGTCACGTCAGACTCTTGTGACCCCATGGACCGTAGCCCACTAGGCTCCTCTGTCCATGGGATTTCCCAGGCACGAATACTTGAGTGGTGTGCCATTTCCTTCTCCATGGGATCTTCCTGATGGAAGGGTCGAACCCCGTATCTCCTGCATTGCAGGTGAATTCTTGACCGCTGAGCCACCAGAGAAGCCCATAAGTCTTGTGATCTTTGCTTATGTATGTTACATATATTTCCCCCGTGATTCTTCTTTATTTTGTATTGATTGATTGATTGTCTAATGCGTGCATGCTAAGTTGCTTCAGTTGTGTCAGACTCTTTGTGACCCTGTGGACTGAGCCCTCCCGGCTCTCTGTCCATGGGATTCTCCAGGCAAGAATACTGGAGTGGGTCACCATTTCCTCCTCCAGGGGATCTTCCCCACCCGGGCGGGGATCAAACCAGTCTCTTATGTCTCCTGCATTGGCAGGCAGGTTCCTTACCACTAGTGCCATCTGAGAAGCCCGATTGACTGGTTAAAGCATAATTGATTTGTATTAGTTTCAGGTGTAAGCCATAATGATTCAATATTTTCATAGAATATACTTCTTTTAAAGTTATTATAAAATATTAGCTGTATTTCCTGTGCTGTACAATATATCCTTGCATCTTACTTATTATATTATATACATAGTAGTTTGTACCTTTTAATCACCTACCCTTATCTTGCCCCTTTTCACCATACCTCTTCCCACTGGTAACCATTAGTTTGTTCTGTTTCTGTGAGACTGTGTTATATTCATTCATTTGATTTTTAGATTCTACATATAAGTGATAATATCACATATGAACTCTTTATGTAACAAAACATAATCCTTTGTCATCCTGTTGCACTTATTTTTCTACATGTGTTTGTTTTTCACTTGTTCCCATTTTTTTTTTCTTTCTTTCTTTCTTCCCCATTCTAATTGTTTCTGTCTCAAAATGTTTGGCAGATTGACCAGTGGAGCCATCTGAGCTTCAAAGTTTCTGTATTGGTTTCTAAGTGTAGTTTCAATTTCCTAAATAGTTTATAGAACTGTCATATTTTCTGTTTATTTTTGTGCCAGTGTTAATAAGTTCTGTTTTTCTAGGAATCTATTCATCTAAATTTTCAAATTTATGCAAAAAGGTAGTGATATCCTCTTATTTGTTTAAACATTTGTAGGATTTGTAGTGATGCATCATTTTGCATTTTTGATATTCTTAATATTGCTTCTTTTTCTCCATTTTTTTATTAGTTACTTGCTGCCAGAGATGTCAGTTCTTTTTCAGAGAACCAAGTTTCAGTTTTGTTAGTTCTCCCCAGTACATATTGACTTCACCCCCTTCTCGCAGAATGCATTCACTGGCACAGAATTCTGGCTTGGTAACAGTTTTCTTTCAGCCCTTAGTGACAGCATCCCCTGGCTTCCAGCTTTCTCTTTCCATCAGCTTTCAGTCTTGTTTCTCTGAAGGTGGTTTTAATATTTTCTCTTTGTCCTTGATTTTCTGCAGTTTTAATAAGACATCTAGCTATAACTTTCTGTTTTTATTAGGATTATGAGTTTTCATTTTATGTCTGATCTACAAATGGAAATTGTGATTATCTGATGACATCTGTCTTTTCACTGGTTATTTCTTTATTCTCAGTTGGGAAGACCTTGCCACTCTCAGGTGTTGAAAAATTCTGCTCCAGGTTTTCTATGGACTCTATTTTAGTGTAAAGTGAGAAGTGGGGATCTAAATTGCTTTTAGTGCTATATCTCCAAATGGATGATCAATTATTGTGGAAAATCAATTATTCTAGCAAGTTTTATTGTCATATTTCAACTATTTTCAGCACCTTTTTGTATATTAAAATCTTATACATAGTAGTAGAATCTGCGGGGGGAGGAGTTAGCTCTCTGGTATCAGTAGCTGCTTCTATTTAATCCAGATTTTATTTAAACTGTGTTCCTCACCAATTTTGCAGGCCAGCACCCGTGTTTTTCATGTAAAGTGTCTGGTACGGATGTGAAGCGTTGCTCTGTCAGCGCTTGTGGGAAATTTTACCATGAAGCCTGTGTCCGCAAATTCCCCACTGCCATCTTTGAATCAAAAGGCTTCCGCTGTCCCCAGCACTGCTGTTCTGCCTGCTCTATGGAGAAAGATATCCACAAAGCAAGTAAAGGTAAAACAAAGCTAAGGAAGGGGACGATGTTTGGGGTTGTTTTAAATGCAATGGTAAACAGTAAGCACATTATTACAAAGAACATTGGGCATCCTCCCTTTGTTTATCTATCGCTATTGCAGCTGGGCCACAGTAGATAGTAAATTAAGTGGTAAATAGATAGTAAAATAAAATAAGTAAAATAAGATAGTAAAAAACACAGTCATATCTGACTCTCTGTGACCCCATGGACTGTAGCCTACCAGGCTCCTCTGTCCATGGGACCTGGCAAGAATACTAGAGTGGGTTCCCATTTCCTTCTCCAGGGGATCAAACCCGTGTCTCCTGTGTTGTCAGGAGGATTCTTGACCACTGAACCACCAGGAGAGCCCTAAGATAAGTGGATACTAGGTTCTAATTCAGACCATGAGAACAAAATTCCGTATGTTCAAAATTACCCCTGGAATTTCCTTCAACAGGTGCCATATTGACAACCACCATTTCTCCAGCACTGGAGCAGACACAATTTTTTTGAGTGACTCTAGATGGGCACTACATTTAGGGACCATACAGCATAGGAATGGCAGAGCCAAACCAGTGAGGAGATTTTTGTTCTACTATAACCAGCATCACACTGGGTCCCCAAAGATGTCCCTTTGTGTCAGCAGATGCCTTGTGACCCAGGTTCCTCCCTGACCGTCTTCCAATAGGTCGCATGGTGAGATGTCTGCGGTGCCCAGTCGCCTACCACTCCGTAGATGCTTGCATTGCCGCCGGCAGCACCCTCGTGTCTTCCTGCGTTCTCATCTGCAGTAATCATTCCACACGGAGCAGTAGCTCTTCCTCTGCTATAAATGTAGGCTTTTGTTTCGTTTGCGCCAGAGGTGAGTCTCAGTCCTTTCTCTTCAGGTCTTTTTGGGTTCGTTGGTGTATTTCCCCGTTAAAATCAAGTTACAGGAGTACCCCTAAGAGAGATGAACATTTCCAGCAACCAGTCCCTTTTGTTACATTAGATACTCAGACTGTTAGAATATTAATTCTTCCATAAATTAAGGTAAATTCTGCTTAATTTCTTAGTAACTTAGAATTAAAGATGAGTCCTCACTCTTCCTGTTTGGAGCATCAAAAGATTAGGATTGACCTTTGAACCACATAGGTTTGAATTACCCGCATCCACTTGGGTGCACTCTTTTCTCAGTGTGTGCTCCAATACTTGGATCCAGTGCTGGTAGAATCTGCAGATGGGGGAGAGAGACGACTGTAAAGTTACAAAGGATTCTGGCTGCGTGGGGGTCAGCACCCCTCACCCCCACAGTGTTTAAGGGTCAACTCTCTTCACTTCTCCAAACAATTCTTCTGTGTGAAGTAGAATCGTCTCATGTCATATTGTTTAATCCAGAGTTTTCAACTAATTTAGATTTCACTTGCCAGGCAAGAAGAGCACATTTATTTTTCAATTATTTATGTTGTATTTTATCATGTTTTGGTCTGGCTTCGAGGGAGGCCTGATGGGATATAGCCAAGGCAACATATGGGGTGTATTAGTTAAGAGCCTGCAGTGCAGGCTTTCTTACTTGCCAGCTGTTAATATTTCAGTCTGCCAAGAGATTGATCAATTAAAAACAATATTGTGTCCCTGAGGGTGTCAGTGAACTTGAGTTCGTGATAAATCTAAAGTAGAATTTCTTTACTTGAATATGATACGGAGTATTCAACTTTACAGAGTGTCTCAGCTATATTATAAGAAAAACAATTTTTAGTGTAATGTTTAGTGTAATCTAAAGTGTAAGCATTTTAGAAACCAACTAATATCCCCAAACACAGTTTGTTGGGGTTTTGTTTTTTTTTTTTTGTCATAAATGCTGAGTTTTCTAAACTTCCCTTAGTGTGAAATTCTTGAAAGGACTCTGACATCTCAGGCCTGTTCGATTATGCTTAGCCCATATTGAAAAAGAAGTTTGGGATCCTGTTTTCTTTTTTTAAGGAATTTTCCCTTTCTGCTGTATAGCCAAGTGAATCAGCTCTGTATTTACATACATCCTAACCCTTTGTTTGGATTTCCTCCCCATTTAGGTCACCACAGAGCATTGAGCAGAGTTCCCTGTGCCGTACAGGGGGTTCTCATTAGTTACCTACTTTATCCATAGTGGCTGTGTTTGGTTTTGTTTAGTTTTAGGAGACAGTTCTTTCAATTTGGTGAAAGTACTATAAAATATTTTTAATAGAATTTAGCTAATATGATAGATCTTGAGTTGTTTTACTTTTGTAACTCTCATTAAAAAAAAAAGACCAGAGGAGGTGGACAGTAAAGGATTAAGTAACTGGTAGTCCTTTTTGTAGCAGCCAGCTGAGTCCGTGTACACACTGCTTTGAGTTGGCCTGTTGGGCAAGCATGTGGGGCGGCCGCCATCAGAGAGCAGCGCTGGGTAGAGCAGTGAGGGCAGCTGTATTCTGCCCTGAAGGCTGGATGGCGCAGGGAGGAGAAGGTTGGACGTGTCTCATGCCACGTTGCATTAGCCAAAGAAAATGTCAGCATGTGCCTTGTCCATCTCCCCATTCCTAAGCAAGGAATGATAGGGTGAAAATACTGAACTAACAACTGAACGACTAGCTTTAGAGACTTTCAAATAGGTGAGTGTCAGTGATAACATAAAGTCTCTGTTGCTTTGTAAATATTACTTTTACTCACCTTCACTTGGAGTGATGGAGGGAGGGAGGGTGTGTGTGTGTGTGTGTGTGTGTGTGTGTGTTTGTGTGTGTAACTCAGCCAACATTTTATTAATAAATATCAAGTTTAAAACTATTGTGTTGGCTTACTCCGGAGTACATTCTGAATCAAGTACCATCAGTAAGTATAGCAACCAATATTTCCTTTTGCTCTATTTCATTCAATAATTGGGTGACCTTTAAAGCAGGTATTTTTTTGTTTAAGTAAGGTAGAAAATGACCCCTTGTCAAGGAACCTAGTTTTAGAGCAAATTCCAACCGTTTTAAGTTTAACTTTCATGCCTTGATGAAAAGCTTGAGATAATGGAAACTCCATGTTTTGACAGCAGGATCACATTTGGATTTTATCAATTTGGCAGTTATTCTGCAAGATTTGCTGTACTGAAATGCCTTTTTAAGAACAAGATTATTTAATTCCCAAATACTCTACAGCTTTGCACAGTAAACAGAAACTCATTTTCTTTTCCAACATTTTACAGAAAATTATTCTAAATAGATCAGATGCTAGGATTTGAGAAGGGCTTAAAAAACTTCTCCAGAAGTAAATAATATGTGTTCCTTTATCAGTATTTATAGAGGGTCTCCTTTTTAAAGGAGATCTAATTGTAATAAATCCACACTTATTAAAAGGGATACTTCAGTCCTTTATGTTTTGGTATTAGGAAACTTAACTTGTGTTGCAGTTGTTTCTCCCTCTGCACAGAGGATTTTTGTCCTAGTTCTTGGTTGTTTAAAATCATTGAGCTAATTCTTAAAGCCTGAAATATCTGGAGATATTTTTGGAAATGCTTCAGTGTTTAGAGGGTCAACCCTCTTCCCCTGCCCCTCATGGTGTCATAGGTGCCATTTCAGTGCAGTAGAGATTCTTTAGCATTCCCTTTCATCTGCAGGGTGCTGTAAAATAAAAGTTACTTAACATTCTAAGTTGTTCTTCCCTATTTAAAAGCCACTGTACCACTTTTCTCTATTAAATGTACGAAATTCATTAAACATTATATAACCTTTATTCAAAGACTCTTCTGTATTATCAGTTAGCAATTTCAAGTTCCATTCACATGAGAGATATTTCCTGAACCTGTCTCAGTGTCAAGCAGCACGAAATGAAGATAACATCCACCAAAAATAATAAATGGTCACCCTTTAGAAACAAAACTTCTGCTCAAAAAGATCTCTGTGAAGCTGCCGTCATGATTCGTACTGTAAAGTCTTAGATTGTTATAAACTGACCGGTAACCACAAACAGAAAGTTTCTCTGGTCTTGCAGGTCCCTCAGCTACAGGATGGACTTAGCTCGGGGCAGCAAGAGGAGGGAGGGAGGGGAGGTGTGTGCTACAGGTGGATTAGAGCAGATGGTGTTTTCCTCCAATAGGACAGCTGTATTAGTGGATTGAAAGGACATTTTTATAAACCCTTAAGTTGGTTATTATACAATCAGGACAAAATTTTAAAGATTTTCAGTACCTCAGTGAAGTTCAGCAACTTACGGCTTCTTTAAAATCATGTATCATATTGATAAGAGGAAAGCTTCATTGTCTGGCTGAGAAAGCTGGAATTTGAGGGTATCTAAAGATCTTAGCAGAGAGGAAGAGAGGCCCAGTTCTGCGATTCAGTGCTGCTTGATGTACTGAAGACCAGGGTCTCTACTGTGTCATGTAGACAGGTCTTATTTCCACTATTAAGTGATGTGTCATTTTGTTCTTTGGGTTGTCATCATAGTCCTTCTAAACATTGAGGAACATAGCTCTGTTTTCTAGAGTGGGTTTTCAGAATGACATCAAACACAGTTTAATCCTCAAATTAAATTCAAGGTTTTTTTTTTTTCTGGGTGTGTGTCGTGTAGAGATAAGGCTTTGAGTTGCCTAAACTCCCTTTACTAACTGTAGAAAGCCTCTTCTGTCAGATCTTTCTCTTCCTTCGTATTCTTTCTCCCCCACCTCGAAGCACAGCTGCATAGTAGGTGTTGGTTCATTTTTCCTCATGGAATCATGGGTAGTTTCATTGCAGCTCATGTCTTTCTGTTTGTCTCGTATAGGGCTGATAGTGCAGGACCATTCAGACCCCATGTTCAGTTCCTATGCCTATAAGTCCCACTACCTACTGAATGAATCAAATCGTGCAGAGTTGATGAAACTACCTATGATTCCTTCTTCGTCAGCTTCCAAAAAGAGATGTGAGAAAGGTAATAATCAAAATAGTTTATCTCTTACTTTTATTTTTGCATTTCCTATTTTTTTTCTCTTTAAATGAAGGGGGAAAATGTATGCCTGTCAAGCACCATCTGTTGCTTTCAGTAAATTCTACCTTGGTGGCTGTGACTGTCTTCATATGGCTGCAAAATTATTAAAAAGGGCTTAAAATAATTCCGCTATTACAAATTTTTACTTACACTTCTTGAATAAGTTTTCGCACATTCCATATATCTGTAGTTATTAAAATTGAAAGACTAGGATTCTGCTTAATATAGAAATGTATTCTGAGACCTCTTTCTCTTTTGCCTGAACTACCATTCATGTTAGAATAGAAGAGACAAGATGTAATTTGTTACTAACTTTCAACTAAATAACAAGATAGGTTATTAAACAGAGGGGAACAAAAATAACTGACACTTAAAATTTTGATTCTGGAATACAGTCTGTCATTTTGTTTCTTAAATGTTTGCTATGAAAACTAATTGCCCTTCTCTCAGGAGACATTGGTGGGCAGCTGGGAGAATGCACAAATACTGGAGCTTGAAAGGCAGCCCAGCAGAACTGAAGAATAGCTTATGGAATTTATCCACAGAGAACCAAGAGCTAAATGTATATATTTTTATTCTCCCAGTTAATTTAATCTGTGGAAGAAAAATCTCGTATTTTGCCTTACAGAGCCTACATGTAATACAGGGGGAAAAAGTAGTTTAACAATAATGTATTATTGGGGGAGTTATTATTCTAGAGGGTAAAATAAATAACCTAGAAGGTGAAGGCCTTTTCCTGTATACATTTCCGGTATGATCTGGGGCCAGGCTCAGAATCTTTAAAGAAAATTTAATTCATTTTTTTTCTTTCTTTGTGTTGCCTGCTGCTGATGTATGTTTGCTGTTTGTCAGACATCTGAAGTAGCGACCTAAGACTAAAGGAAAGTATAACTAAGCAAGTTGGTTAGAAACCATGGGAAAGGAGGTTGAGAGACTAATGACTTTTTTGTCTGTTTTCCATTGAAGTCACAGTATGGCATCTTATGGTGATAGATACCACCTGTTTCCAAAACAAAGATGGACATGGGTCTGACTAATTCCATAGTGCAGTAAAATTAGACTACCCAAGGCATTTTAGGAAATGCCTGATTTCCCTGCTGGCGCCTTTATAAAATTAGACAAATTCAATTGTTGCTTACTTTGTGTTCAGTACTCAGTATTGGCCTTGACATGAATTGAAATTATTTTGAGCCCTCTGTTTGCTTAGCTTGAACCGTTATCTTTCTTCTCTTGCACCCTAAAGCAGTTTTCTTGCATAGCACCAAGGTGGATTGTTCATATTTTTATTTTTCTATTTCCCTGTGTATTTTCGTCAAAAAATCGTGATGATTTTCACTGATGATTCAGGGTCTGTATTTCCTCTGAAATAAGACTTAAAATTCAGGACTATTCCATAATGTTAAAAAATGGCCAGCCTGACTTTTCCACATCAACCCAAATAATCACATGTCCTCAAGCTATTTGCAAAGACCACTCTCCCTACTGGTCATTTCTTTCTGATGGAAAAATGAATTATTTCATTTTACTTTAAACTTACAGAAGAATTCCCTACCTAGGCTGAGACCACTCAGGCAGCTAATCTCTAGGTTGGAGAATTGGAACAATTAATCCACATTGAGATCTGCAGACAAAGGGGAAAATCCAAATGATGGAAGTAAAAGCTTTTAAGCAGAGGAAATATAGTAATTTAATTCATCACTGATTGTACATGGATTTTCTTTTTGTTTTTATGTTAATTAGTTAGAAGTTTGAAAGTCTACAGGAAGACAAGATTTTCTGGAAAATTGATAGCAAACGCTCAAAAGGTTGGAGCATATAATTTGATAAAGTTATATAGTGGGCTCTTAACCTTTTGCTTACAAGACTTTAAATCTCAGTACACTCATGGGTTATAGACTTGGTTTTCCAATGGAAAGATGATTTTTTTTTTTACAGTAAATGTCTTTATTGTATTTCATCTTCAGTGATTAACATTCTCTGTCACTTGTTGAAATACCTAATCTCCCCTCAAATTTCTTTAATTTTTTGCATTTAAAAATAATATTGTTTCATTTGCTGCACCTGTTTTTGTCTTAATACAGAGATCATTTTGTTTTTAAAAGGCGAGGATTTTGCTAGGCTACTTAAAGAGATCTCCTCATATGTGATACTTGATTCTATCTGATACTTATTTCATGCTATAAAGCAGTGGTTCTCAATATGATGTCAGAAAATATTACAAACAAAATTTTGAACTATGTTTAATATTTCAGAAAGTCTAACAGAATCAGCCATTTGTGCAAAATACAGTTGCATGAGTTTCTCTGTATTTGGCTATGACTTTAACAATTTAATATGAAAAGACTAGTTTTGTTACTGGGATCTGAAGTTCCAACTGGCTATTCGATATTTCTGTAGTTAATTAAAACATAAAAAATAATTGTGGCTTTTAAAATGTTTTTTTTGTTTTGGTGGGGTTTTTTGGTTGACAAAGTATATATATATTTTTTATAAAATATTTGAAAACATGAGTCCATGGGAAAGGGAAAGGGGATCCTTGGTGATGAAAAAGTTGCAAACCACTGCTGTATAGCCTGTTTGACTTTCTTTGTCTTTCCTGAAAAGATAATGATAATGTAATCACAAATTCAAGATCCGTTTGCTTTTTTGTATTCTTACAAGTAAAGAAAAAAGTAGTGGTCAGCCTATTGGCTATTTTCATTCTCGCTAATATTGTTATAAAGGGATTTAGTTAGCTGTGCCACTGGATTAAAATACAAAGATGACCATTGTTTACTTTCTTAACTCTCAAGGAGAAAAAAAAGTACATATTTTTCTGAAAATCTGTTCTCACATCTACTCAAGTCTAAAGATTTTATGCATCTATTTGTCATATGTTAAAGAGTCTTAACCCTCAGCTAAATCAATGCCTCAATAGTCCTCATTTCAGAGGGGTGAAGAGTCATATTTTTCCTACTCACAGTTCCTTACACACTCTGAATTTCTGGCCACTGAAGCCCTCTCTAGGAAGGACTGAAGTAGCTAAATCTGTTTATTGTCTTGTATTTTAATCCATCACTATAATAAAACTCAATCCCTTTGTTAATTTCTCTCAATCTGAATCACATTTAATACACTGAAAAGATAACTTTCTTGTCTCTTTCTTTCCTCTCTTCTTAGTTATTAAGACTGTTTGTTTGTTTCAAGGTGGACGACTGCTCTGCTGCGAGTCGTGTCCAGCCTCCTTCCACCCGGAATGCCTGAGCATAGAGACGCCCGAAGGCTGCTGGAACTGCAATGATTGCAAAGCTGGCAAGAAGCTGCATTACAAGCAGATTGTTTGGGCCAAATTGGGAAATTACAGGCAAGTTTTTCCAAGGACAAAGAGGAAGTATTCAATCACTGCTGAGTAGTTCACAGTCTGTACAAGCGTGGCCAGGAAACAGGTACAACACAGCACAGCCACTTCCTCAGAAAAAGAAAGAAAAGAAACATTTTTAGTCTGGGTTTTTAGAAGACTGGGAAGGTTAGTGGTTGTTAGATTCCCCCACCCCCTTTTTTTTTGTTGTTGATTGACTTTTGTTTTTAAGTTCTGAAAGTTATTTTATCCTAATGAACTATGGTACTAACAGGATTTGGAATAAAAGGTTTCATATGGATAGTGGGGAAGACTTTTTTTTTTCTTTTGCATTCTAATTGGATTTATGTTAATTTCTGGTTTCTAATGAAGTTAACAGTTTATATTCTGGCCAAAATAACTCTTTCTGCCCCTAAATCTGTTTTATCATAGTTCTAGCTAGACACTCTAAACTAGGTTGCAAAGAGGGAGCTTTTTAGAATTTAGAGAGAGAGGTTATTTCATTAGGAGCCTTTAGTTCTTAAGGGAATGAATCAAGAAGTATGCATGGTTGCCATTATTTTATTAAATCTTTCTCCTGTTAAGAAACTTATTTTTAACAAATCTTCACGCCAAAGGATACTGATATATTTTTTAAACTTTACATTCTACATTTTGAGGTGTATGTTTATTATTTTACCAAGAAAATGGATACTATTCGAAAGAACACAGTAAAGTTCTGCTTTTCAATTAGAATCCTAAATATGTTTCTATAGAATTTCAAACATTCTGTAATTTTTTTAAACAAGGGTTCTGTCATTTTCTCTGTTTTAGATATGCTGCTTGCTTACCTATTTAACAAACTTCATCTTTAGCTGAGATAAGGGGCATTGAGAAGCTCCCCTCCAACCAATTTTTTTAACAAATGACAGGAAACTTCCATGTTCTTTTTTTAAAAAAATGGACAGTTTGAATATATAAATAATTTTACACTTTACAGCAAAAGATATAAAGTTTTAAAAGGCAAATATCAAACCAGGTGAACTCTGCTACTCTCAGTAAGAAAAGAAAAATACCTTCCTGAAGGAAAAAGGAACAGAGAAAGAGCCAGTTTGTAGAAGAGCAAATGGAAAATAAACATGTGAAAAGTGCCCTGCCTCACTAAAAATGTACATGAAAAAAGCAAAGTTGATTTTCAGTTAACAGACTGGCAGAGATTTAAGAGTACTAATTCTGTAGCTCAGGTGGGCCTGGAGAGACAAGGGCTCCTGTACAAGAAAGGCGTCATGTGGCAGAACTGAACTGTGCACCCCTGGACCCAGCACTTCCCCTTCAAGGAATGTATCTAAGGAAAGACATTGGACAAACGGGCAAAAATGTCCTTATAGGGATGTTCATTGCAGTATTATTTCTAAGTGCAAAATTTTGAGGAATCCAGATGGTCAGTCAGTAGGGGATTTGTCAAATCCATATTGCAGGATGCCTGGAAGACTAAAGAAGGGTGGCCACAGTGTGCAGTTAACTTCAGGAAGTATGTTAAATAGTACATAGATTATCTCTCCGTATACTTATACAACTTGTAAAAATTGGAGATCTAGACATAATATGTTTGTATTATTACCTGGAAAAAGCATCTAACGTTAATAGTCTGGGGCATGACATTATAAGGAGGAAGCATGTTCAGCTTTTCTGTTGCACATTTCTGCATTGTTTTAATTTTTTAAAGAAACTACACTTTTTTTGTGTATGAAACTACATTTAACACTTTTAAGGTATGTCCTTTTTAGTTGAAGTGTAGTTATACTGCTGTTGCAGCAGACTGACTCAGGCGTGCACACACACACACTCCTTTTTATGTTCTTTCATGGTTTATCGCAGGAGATTGGATGTGGTTTCCTGCACTCTGCAGGAGGACCTCGTTTACCCATTCTCTACATGATAGTTTGCATCTATTAACCCCAGACTCCCATTCTTCCCTCTCCCTCCATCCCCCGTGGCAACCTCGAGTCTGTCCTCTCTCTGAGTCTATTTCTGTTTTGTAGATAAGTTCATTTGTGCCATATTTTAGATTCCACATAGACGTGATACCGTATGTAGTGGTCTTTCTCTTTCTGACTGACTTCACTTAGTATGATAATCTCTAGATGCATCCATGTTGGCTGCAAGTGGCTGGCCTTTTTCATTCTTGTTTATGGCTGAGCAGTGTTCCATTGTATAGATGTACCATATCTTTTTCATTCACTTATCTATCAGTGAACATTTAGATTGTTTCCATGTCTTGGCTATTGTAAATACTGCTGCTGTGAACACAGGGGTGCACGTGTCTTCTTGAATCATGGTTTTGTCCAAGTATGTGTCCAGCAGTGGGATTGCTGGGTCACACTGTAGTTCTGTTTTCAGTTTTCTGAGCACCCTCCATACTGTTCTCCACGGTGGCCATACCAACTTACATTCCCAGCAACAGTGTTGGAGGGTTCCCTTTGCCTCACACCCCCACCAGCATTTGTTATTTGTAGACTTCTTAATGATGGTGATTCTGACTGGCACACAGTGCTTTTATAATTAAAAAAATACTTATATTTTCCAGGAGGGGATAGGTACAGCTTTGACGAATAATAGATAAGATATTCCCCGATAAGAAATATCAGAAGTAGTATAAGGCTTTGTTGTCATTTGCTCGCTGAGTTGTCTCTGACTCTTTTGCAACACTATGCACTGCAGCCCGCCAGGCTCCTCTGTTCATGGGATTTCCCAGGCAAGAATACTGGAGTGGGTTGCCATGCCCTCCTCTTCCAGGGGATCTTCCCAACCCAGGGTCGTCTCCTGCATCAACCCCTCATCTCCTGCATTGACAGGCTGATTCTTTACCACTGAGCCACCAGGGAAGCCCCAAGGTCTTCAGATAAATTTCAGAATGTTTCCTTTCTAAAACTTTCTTTGGCCTTTTTAAAAAATGTAATTGACATTATGTTAGTTTCAGGTATACAATATGATGACTCGACATTTGTATACATTGTAAAACAGTCACCACAATAAATCTAGTTAACATCCATCACCATATATAGTTACAATTTTTTTTCTTGTGGTGAGAACTTTTTTGTGTGTGTCGAAGGAAAGCACACCATTTTCGGCAGGGAGCCAGGCTAGGAGTTCAGGACAGGTAGCCCCCAAAAAAGCTGAACTTTGATGAGAATGGCTAAGATTCACCCTCTTAGCAGCTTTCAGATACAATGCAGTATCATTAACTATAGTCACCATGCTGTCCATTATATATTTCCTTTTCAAAAAACTTTATGAATATGAAAATATATTTGGCTTTAATACTTAAATTTTAATCACACGTCATTTACAGAGGCCCGAAGCAGAGGTTCCGTTCACAGGCCAGTGACAGTTCATCTGCCTGATTTTACATCCGTGGGCTAATGCCTAATGTATTTTTTCCAATCAGACCTCTCTGGGCCCCATGAAACTGTTTCTTTTCAATAACTAGTTATTCTCATGTGAGACTTCCTGGGGGAGACGTGGGCCTGGAACAAGGCTGGCAGAAATCATACCCCCATCTGTCTGAGCCAGTGTGTGTGGTTACCACATGCACCCCACATGTGGCCTTAACACGAATCAGAAATACAACCACTGCCCAGCCTGCTTTGAGGGGAACCAAATACTGATTACACAGAATAGTGTTGTTTTTAACAATTTGAACACTGGCTTCTACCCACATTTTAGTTAACCCATAGGTGAACATGGGGTGCTTTTAGATGAAGCATGTTCATCGTTTATCTTCCCAATAATGTCATTCATTGTTCATTAAATAAATGGTTTTATTAGGCATGTATAAAATGGGACTGAAAAAAATTAAGTTTGTGTGCATCTACTGTTGGTATCAACGATCTTATGTGCTACAGGGACTTCACCCTCCAGTTCCTGACTTGCCCAGTTGCAGGAACTCTTCCAGTGCACCTCACAGGTGGTTCCCCCAGTGATCACTGTGGACCAGTCATCACGTGAAGCATGATTTTTTCAGGCCTGTCCCAAATCCCACGTCTATTATGATCTAAGATGAATTAGATTCTGAAATACGCACTGATAAAAGCCTAGTACATTTGACCAGAATGTGTTTTATCCTGGTTGATTAGAGAGTCAGAAAATGTCAGTTTGAATGGGAGCAGGCATTCTTTACAACAGCATCAGTTTATTCTCAAATGATTCGCTTGACTGCCAGGAATAAACTTCTGTAGCTTGAAAGACAATCTTGGAATTAAGAATGTCACATTTGGAGGAAAAAATGACTTTTCCAGGACTGAAATCTGGTTTGGAATATTTTATTGGCCAATTCTAATTCTTAAGTTGTATTGTAGTTTCACTGTTAACCTTATTAGTATGCTTTATTCTTATGATATATATACTTTTATAAATATCAAATATTAATATTAAGGAAGAAATCAGATTGGGTGTTTAGGGCCTAGTTTGTTTAGTCTGTGTTCACCATTTCATTCGTTAATTCGTTCATCAGTATGTTGTTAAATGACGTGTGGTTTGGGCAGGATTAAAGATAAGCGAGGTGTTCTGTGTCCTTAGACTTGCAATGAAAATTACAAAGTACAAAACCGATGTTTTTCGGCTCCCGCCGGCCATGTAAAGCTTAGTGTGACTCTCCATCCTCCCACTTTCAGATGGTGGCCGGCTGAGATCTGCAATCCCCGGTCTGTGCCGCTCAACATCCAGGGCCTCAAGCACGACCTGGGCGACTTCCCCGTGTTCTTCTTCGGCTCTCACGACTACTACTGGGTCCACCAGGGCAGAGTGTTCCCTTACGTTGAAGGAGACAAAAGCTTTGCTGATGGACAGACCAGTATCAACAAGACCTTCAAAAAAGGTACATCGGATGACGTTCACCGTGACTCAGAACCAACACTCCTGTGTTGATCTCTCCGCACTTCTCACTTGCAGAGGACATGTTTCTGGTGTTAGGAAGTTTTCACCAGGTGTTATAACCTGGCGTCCATAGTTTCTGGTCATGTTAGAACCACCTCACAATCCAGTCGTTTAGAAAAACTCGTTCAGTGTAGTAGACTGTGCTGTGTGTGTGAAAGAAGTTTCCTCAGTGATCTTACTATAGACGTAGAGATTTTTCTGGAAAAAAAAAGAGTCTCCCTAATTAAGTGAAGCACCTTTGCCATAGCAGAGTAGTGAACACTTCCCATGAAGAGCCTTACAGCTGTTTCTGTGTAAAATTTTTTGTTGTCTATTTTTTTTTAACTTTTTTTGCTGTGTATTGAGGTATATCTGGTCAACAGATAATGTTGTGATGGTTTCAGGTGATACATATCCATGTATCCATTTTCCCTCAAATTCCCCTCCCATCCGGGCTGCCACATAACCTTGAGCAGAGTTCCCTGAGCTACACAGTAGGTCCTGGTTGGTTATCCATTTTAAATATAGCTGTATGTTCGTGTCCATCCCACACTCCCGAACTGTCTCCCCCCGCCCTGGCAGCCATTAATTCGTTCTCTAAGTCTTACCATCTGTTTTTGCAACAAGTTGATGGCAAGTTGAGCTTTCTGGGGAGGAGTGAAGTGAGTTTAAATCTGGTACAAGGTGAAAAGCTGCTCTCCGGTTCCCATGGAAACCCCTGACCACTGAAGGGGGACCTCTTTTCCCAGGCGGCAGCTTGCACAGAGCAATGCTGAGCTGTAACGCGCCATATCCCATCTCAGTGTCGCTCTTTCCTGGTGGTAAATGCTTCTTTCCAGGACATAATTTTAAACAGAAAACCTCAGGTCCCATTCAGTGCATGGGGAAGGCAGGGTAAAAACAACTCTCCTCGTGGTTTTTGTTTATTTGGTTTGGGATGTTTATATGCTTTGTCTGGTCTTATTGGCAGCGTTGGAAGAAGCTGCAAAACGTTTCCAAGAATTAAAAGCACAAAGAGAAAGTAAAGAAGCACTGGAGATTGAAAAAAACTCAAGAAAACCCCCTCCATACAAACACATCAAAGTGAGTCTTCACCCACGAAAACGCTGGTATTCGACAGCCAAGGTGAAACTGCTCTCTTAGTAGTTAGAAGGCCCCGACTGACTTGTAAAACCTTTATGCTGATTACGGCTCAGTCTGTGCAGAACAACCTGACAGCTTCTGCCGGAGCATCCACTGGGAGCCGAGGCCGTTCCCCCGGGAGGGCGGGGGCTTTGATGAGCTTGCTCCTCAGCCTGTCCAGTAACCAACAAGAATGTAGGGATTTAGCCCCATTTTTCCAGAGAACCAGAGCTGTTTTCAGCTTTATGAAATCGTCATCAACTGGTAGGAGGGGAAAAGCAGAGGATAAATGAGGACTCACATCAAGTTTTGGTATTTTTGTCAGCTTAGGAGAGGCAGCTGTTAATCTCAGCTTACTCAACTTGGGAAGTCTTGACCAGGATAAAGAGCCTCTCTCAGGGCGACCCCACAGGCAGTGGCGGGGCCAGGCGGGCCTGGGGGTCCCGGCGTCCTGTCAGACTCCCCCTCCCGCTTGTGGTTTTGTTGCCAGGCCAACAAAGTGATAGGGAAGGCGCAGACCCAGGTGGCAGACCTGTCGGAGATCCCCCGCTGCAACTGCAAGCCGGCCGATGAGAACCCGTGCGGCCTGGAGTCCGAGTGCCTGAACCGGATGCTGCAGTACGAGTGTCATCCGCAGGTGTGCCCGGCGGGCGAGCGCTGCCAGAACCAGTGCTTCACCAAGAGGCTCTACCCGGACGCCGAGGTCATCAGGACCGAGCGCAGGGGCTGGGGCCTCAGGACCAAGAGGAGCATCAAGAAGGTAGCATGGGGCGGGGCGGCACTGGGGCAGACCGGGACCGTGCCTCTCAAGAGTGTGGCAGTAAGGACCCAGGACCCAGGGGTTCATCCTACAGTTCTGGGACTTCTCGGGTGGAGAGTTTGGTACTTCTGGAGCAAGTAAGAAGTGGGTAGGGGAGCAGATGGTAAAGAATCTGCCTGCAGTGCGACCCGGGTTTGGTCCCTGGGTCGGGAAGGTCCCCTGGAGACCGCAGTGGCTACCCACTCCAGCACTCCTGCCTGGAGAATCCCGTGGACACAGGAGCCTGGCTCGCTGCAGTCCGTGAGGTCACAAAGAGTCAGACACGACTGAGTGACTTTCACTTTGCCTGTCATCAGTCAAAAGGAGGAGAAGGGACATTGGTCATTCTAACCAAAATATTTTTTACTTGTTAAACAAACTAGATTTAACATGGGTAAAAGGAAAAATAGTAAAGTTAAGACCATACTGGACAGAAACTAGCAACCCCAGGATTTTGCTCCAACGTCGTAATTAGCCATGAAGCCCCGGTCAAGCACTTAACCCAGGGGTCTCCGTCCTCTGGGATCTAATGCCTGATGGTCTGAGGTGGAACTGACATGATAGACATAAAGTGCACAATGAAATGTAATGCCCTTAAATCATCCCGAAATCATCCCCCCTCTCCCCCATCCATGGAAAAATTGTCTTCCATGAAACCAGTTCCTGGTGTCAAAAAGGATGAGGACTGCTGGCTTAACCTCTCTGAGACTCAGTTCCTTCATCGCTAAAATGGACATAATAAGCCCTGCCCGACATGTGTAAGAGTTGTGGATAGTCTCAAATTAGATCGTATATACAGAGCAACTAGAAAAAGTTGAGATCTTTAATACTTATAAATTATCTTCATTCTTATACTTTGAGGTAATTCTTCAAAGCAGTCTGTTTAACACAGGAAATGCATGCCCATTGTGGAAAATATTTTAATCCAAATAACTCAATAATTGAAAATCACCAATAAATCCTGCTATTCAAACAGTGGCTCTTAACCTTTAGAGACCCTGAGAATCTTCCAGGGTCCTTGTTAAAATGAGTGTCAACTGAAATATTGGTGACAGGCCTAAAAATCTGTTTTTTAAAAAGTTCATCTTCTCCACCTACCCCACCCCCACCCCCACCATCACCTGCTGATGTGTAGAACTTGGAGCCATGTTCTCTAAGAGAAGATGGGCCTAGTGGGAATTTAAAATTACTCCTGGCATTTTTCTGCCTTTAAAAAAAAATCACCTTTATAATGAAACGCTATATAACATAGAACAGAAACTCAATACAAAAAAGATAATAAAGAGTGAAATTCCTCAATTCCTGTCCTCCTCACTAAAGAAGACCATTGTTCATAAGTTGGTGTGTAGCCTTTTAGAACTTTTCTGTGCAATTAATACACACAGACGGAGAGAGGGCAATAAAAGGAGACCATGATAGTCCAGGTGGTGTGGCCTAACCGGGGTTGTAGTTGAGCAGGAAAGAAGTGGTTGGACTTCTGACATTTCGGAGGTAGTGCCTGCAGGATTCACCAGAGCATTGGGTGTGTGGATTGGGTTGCTTGATCAAAGGCTATCTGCATTTAAAGTGTCATCATATAGGGGCTTCCCCGGTGGTCCAGTGATTTAAGAATCCAGCTTGCAATACAGGGGACACGGGTTCGATCCCTGGTCTGGGAATTAGGATTCCGCATGCTACAGAGCAGCTAAGCCCGAGCCACCACTACTGAGCCTGCCGCCCCAGCTAAAGTCCTTGCACCACAACCAGAGATCCCACATGACGCAACGAAGATTGCCATGCCACAGCTAAGACCCGACGCAGTCAAATACCCATTTTTTTAAATGTCACCATATAATGCAAACATTTTGATACCATTTTAACGCCCTGCGTGTCACTTGCAGGTTTTAACTTACGGTTTCAGGGGAATTTGTGGAGCCATCCTGAAATCAACCCAATGTAATACAGTGTTGACACCTTTTAATAGTAGTTACATTTATTCTAAACCATGTTCTAAGTTACTAAATTAATGATATAATCAAGATAGAAGAAAATACAGTCAGGATTACTCTGCCCTTTAGCACCTGAGGAATTGCTGGTGGAAGATAGTTGGTCATTTACAAAAGAGCTAAACTTACATAGTCTCTGAACAGCATAGTCAAAAAGACTGTAGCAATGTGGAGAAGGCTTGGGTACACTCAGAGACAGGAGCCCAGTGGGAGACTGAATGTACATCATCATCAGTCCCCTTCTTTTCACACATAACAGATTCCTAAAAACGTGTGCCAGAGTTAAACAAGGGACTTCCTGTTATGAAGTGATTTCATTCTTAGAAATTAAAAACGTGTGTGCGTGCTAAGTCACTTCAGTCGTATCCAACTGTTTGCGATCATTTGGACTGTAGCCCACCAGGCTACTCTGTCCATGGGATTCTCCAGGCACCAATACAGGAGTGGGTTGCCGTGCCCTCCTCCTCTAGGGGATCTTCCCAACCCAAGGATCTAACCCACATCTCCCCCAGCTCCTGCATTGCAGGCAGATTCTTTACCACTGAACCACTAAGAAAGCCCTAAAAAAAATTATATTAAATACTAAATTAAACTGTCTTTTTGCTGTTGCCTTTAAGGATAGATTTCTAGCAATTAAAATTTGATTTATTTATTTATTTTTGGCCATGCCTTATGGCATGGGAGATTTTAGTTCTCCAACCAGGGATTGAACCTGCGCCTCCTGCATTGGTAACGTGGAGTGCTAACCACTAGACCGCCAGAGAAGTTCCAGATTTCTACCTTTTTAAAAGTTCTTTGTTATTTTTAACCACAATTGAATTCACAGTTAATGGTTTTAAGTCCAGTAAGCAACTCTTTGAGGCTAAAGATTTGTCACTTTTTAGATTCCTAAAATATTTCTTTTACAAAAGAACTAGACACGTTTCTTCACAACCATATCGAGTTGACAAGACTTAACACACCTCATGTTTGATATCAGCACTTTGTCTTTTCAGTATTTGCCAGTATTCATAGAATAGTAAACAGAAACCATAACACATGGTTTCAGACCTTTAAAAGCCACAGAACCCTTTCTTCAAATGAAACATTAACTTGAATCTCAAGTGTATCAGACAAGTAAGGTGGAGCTGATTTGGTATGAATTCCCCTCTATTCGGTCTTCAGTAAGGAAAACTCGCCATAAAATAAAGTGACGCTAGGTGGCAGTGCAGCCAAGATGGCGATGAGATCTGTCTGGGAGGGCAGTGACCGGGACAAGGGCAAGATGTTTTCAGCAGCCGCGGTCCAAGTCCGAACCACGTGAAGGGAGAGCCATTCAGGGCCTGCTGCGCACAGTACGTGCCTTGCAGAGCTGTCTTGTCACGGCGTCGCAGGCAGAGGGGAAACGCGGCTACCTGTCGGAGCCTGTCCCATCGGTTACAGTAGGGGATAGGAGCCCCCAGAAGCACGCTTGTGTGGTAGCCAGGCCCAGCCAAGACGAGCTGTAGCTGCTTGAAGCAGATGGGCTCTTGCCCACGTCCCCAGTGGCCAGCTGGCCAGCCGCCCAGGTTCACCCACCATCTCCCTTCTCTCGTACCAAAATCACAGTCTTGTCTTTTCATCGGTGGGAAAAGGCCAAGTATCCATACATAAGGACGTTGGCTTATGCTCTTAATGACTCATCAGAATCAGAAAAGACACTACAGCGCATCTCTTTAGATGACTGATGCTCTCAGTTCTGTGATGCTGAGCGGTGAGCCTGGCTGGTGAGAACTTGGGTTGGGGGCTGGGGGAGGAACACAGGTCTGGTAAAAACAATAGCAAATACATATTAATTTACTCCCTGAAGACATTTCTCTGCCTTGGAAATGTATTTTTAACACCAAGAAACCCTATAGTTAATGCTGTTGCCCTAGATTGAATCAGCCAAGTCTTCAGGGTGAAAGGGTGATTCATGATTATGCATTTATAAACATGAGAGGTTGAATATACGGTATTTACACTTATTTTAAAAAGGAGCTTACTACTACACACCTGTTAGAACAGCAGAATGAAAAACAGTGACAATCCCATGGGCTTCCCTAGTAGCTCAGCTGGTAAAGAATCTACCTGCAATGCAGCAGACCCCGGTTTGATCCCTGGATGGGGAAGATCCCCTGGAGAAGGCAATAGCAACCCATTCCAGTATTCTTTCCTGGAGAATCCCATGGACAGAGGAGCCTGGTGGGCTACAGTCCACGGGGTCACAAAGAGTCAGACACGACTGAGCACACACATACCACATGCTGATGCGGATGTGGGGAAGCCGGCTCTCCCATACATGGGGAGTGTGTGGTGGAAACTCAAAATGATCCAGCCACTCTGGGAAATAGTTCGGCAGTTTTCTAAAAAATTAAACATATGCTCACCATATGACCCAGCATTTATCCCAGAGAAATGAAAACCTTTGTCTACACAAAAACTTAATCAAAATGTTCACAGCAGCTTTATTTGGTACTAAAAGTTTTGTTACTCAGCAGTAATGAAACAATAAACTATTGATACCCACAACAGCTTGGCTAGATCTCAAGGGAATTAAGCTAAGTTTTTCTTTAAAAAGCCAATCTCTAAAGGTTACATATTGTGATTCCATTTATAGAGCACCCTCAAAATGATAAAACTATAGGGTTGGGTAAGGTCCTACTCTTTAGCCCAGGGAACTGTATTCAATATCCTGTGATAAACCATAATGAAGAAGGGTATAAAAAAGAGAGCTTATGTGTATGTATAACTGAATCAGTCTGCTGCACGTCAGAAGTTAACACAGTGTTGTAAGTCAACTATACTTCCATATAATATAATTAAGAAAAAAACTATAGAGTTGGAGAACTAATGAGGGACGGAGGATGGGTGTGGTTATGAAGGAGTGGTTCGGGGCATCTGTGTTGACAGGGAAGATTGGTGTATTGATTGTGGTGGTGGCTACCTGACTCCCCACCTGGTCCACAGAAATGCACGCGTGTACACATAACAACACATATGCACACAAACGAGTGCGTGTGAAATTGTCAAAATCTTGTCCCAGTGTCAATTTTCTGGTCTTATTTTGTATTGTTCTATTTCCAGGAAGGTTTTGGGTTAATTCTCTTGAGTTACACATGTGGTATTTTGGAATGCTCTCTAATACAATACACTAATTGGTCTTCTTCCTGTTTCATGCTCCTCTCCAGGGTGAATTTGTAAATGAATATGTTGGCGAATTAATTGATGAGGAAGAATGCAGATTGCGAATCAAGCGAGCCCACGAGAACAGTGTAACTAATTTTTATATGTTAACTGTTACCAAGGTAAAATTGCTTTTTTTTTTGGTAAGAACAAAGGATTTTTTTTGGTTTAGTCCCATAGTCTTAGGTTGAATTCAGTTTCCTTCCTCTAATTTGGTTTCGTTTCAAGCAAAACATAATGGTCTACAGTAGCCAGTATGCTTCCCGCTGTAATATGCTCATTGTACCAGAATACAAACCTGAGGGATTGTCGCAGGTCACGTGGCACAGCGCCGTGCGTGAGAGGGTGACCAGCAGCAAGGTTAACACGCCCGGATTTGAGCCCCAGCTCTTAGTCACTGGAAGACCTGGTCCTCAGTTTGTTTATCACCAGGGGAGAGAGTCACCTCTGCGATTCTATGGTACAAACCACCAGGAGAGTTCTGCTTCAGCAGAAAAATCCTAACTGTAAATCATTCTGTGTATTTAGACTTTTTTTTTTTTAATGAGTCAGGAAAAAGGAATAGAGTCAAAAGAAACGAGACAGTAAAACTTCTGATTTAATACATGCAACTGTGAGTGTTACTTGAAGCACATCACTGCAAAACCTATTCTACTGAATTTCTCCAACAGTCCTCTGATTTATAGGTGATGAGAAACTGAGGTCCAGCCATGAGAAATGATGTGTTGAATATCTTGTTACAGCTTAACGAAGAACCAGGACTAGTACCTGTGTTTCCTGTGTTCCAGGCTCTCTCTAAAACTGAATCAGAATAGTATTAAAAGAACTAGAAATCATTGAAGAGTATTAGTTTAACTGTTATGTCACTGAACGTTTTACCACTTTCACGAACAGATAATTTAGAAACATAAAATGCCATTTATTCATGGCTGTTGACCGACCCTTTAACTCCCAGCCCCACTGCCAGTGACCCCTCCAGCCCTCCGGGCAACACTAGGGGGCTCCGCCCTCCAGAGCCTTTCCGGATTATCTGAGTGTAAATTCAGGGAGCCAAAATGTTGGGCTTCTTGAGATACCTTGAACTTTTAAATAAGTAAATGTAAACGACAAAGATTATATTCCAGACTCTAGCCTTTCCATCAGCCAAATCTCCAACTCTTTGTGCAGAGAAGTGTCTCACTTCTCCCTCTCTCTTTGTGGCCTAAGTTCTTATCAATCTGTGCCCCCAGACCCCGGCCCCACTTCTCGCTCAGAGCAGGGGAAGAGGGCTGGCAGCAAACCACCATCATCCCTGTCTCAATTCGCGTCCCAGCTGAGCGCGCTCTGCTCAGAAAATACCTTTCCTTTGGCCCCACGGCCAGCTGACCTTCTAAGTGGCGCTATCTGCGGTCTGTTTCTGGAAACAGACTTTTAAAAGAACCCAGACTTCACGCTGTCTTACTTGCACTGACCTGGTCTCCACGCAGAGAAGAGGACTCGGTCACTCGCCCCAGCAGCACATCTGTGAAGCTGCAGGCGGCCAGGCCTCGGCTGGTGGTGCCCGGGGCTGCCCTGTGGCTCTTGCCTGAGTTGGGGGTTTCTCCGACACGCTGATGCTCAGTTTTATGTCAAAGGAGCTCTCTCTTCCTTTCTTTTCTTTCTGAAGGACCGTATCATTGATGCTGGCCCGAAGGGAAATTATTCTCGCTTTATGAACCACAGTTGTAATCCAAACTGTGAAACCCAAAAGTGGACCGTGAATGGAGACGTTCGCGTTGGGCTTTTTGCTCTTTGTGACATTCCTGCAGGTAAAAGGAACTTAACTTGCTCCCTCCCCCAGGACACTCTTTAAGTTTTGACGCTCATGTATTTACTCAAATAAGATAAAGAGCTGTGTTTAGAATTATCTGCCATTAGGAAGTAAAACTCTATATCCTGCAAAAGGGAGATTAATAGAAGTAAATTCGTTCTCCAAATGATTGCTGTCTGTGTAACGTAAGCAGATGTTTAAACTTTTGTTTTCTTTTTCTTTTTTAATTTAAAGTAATGAGCCTGCGTTAACATCAGCTGGTCTCCTGGCTTGTTTGTGGGAGCTTTCTTGTTTTGTTTTTTAGTTCAAAAGAGCATTCTGTTACAAATTAGACATAAAAAGCTTTTTGAAGCAGAATCATTGCTTTTATTTTTCCTTACCCATTCACCATCATAACAGCAGAACTTAATTTCCCCTTTGTTAGAAAAATGGGTGGGAAGGGAAATGCCGTAACTGAAAGGGATTTAAACTGTGTTTCTAGCGCTCACTGGATTGCTGAGGCCCAGCCAAAGGAAGCTTTGGACCTCCTAGTTTGAATCCCTGGGTCTTCGGTTTGTATAGTAAACCTGCATTTTGAACTCTTTTTCTGATCATAATGTAAGATTAGCTACTTACACATTAGCTACTGAACATGGTATGGTTGTGACAATTCCACAGTCATATTGTTCACTTGTACACTAGGTGTGAATTTGTTATAGAAAAAGAGGCCCGAACTAGAGCCCATTTTTCTTGAGCACAAATTTCAGCTTCTCAGTCTCTCTCATGGTGTTTGACCGCTTCAGTGGAAAGGCTATGATGGCCTTTGTAGAATGTTTCTGTTTGCTTTAGTCGTTGGCGGGTGGGGATGTTTTCCTCTAGTTTTGTTCATTTGTTTGTTTTCCTTTCCCCATCACTGCCTTCAGTGTGGAACAAGGAAGAGGGAAGGGTCTTCATGTCAGAATTCTGTCTCTTTTTTCAGTGTGAGGCTGTGTCTTTGATGGCTTCTCTCTTCCCCGGGACTTGAGTATGAACAGTTCTCTCTCTTGTGGCCTAGGGATGGAGCTAACATTTAATTACAACCTGGACTGTCTGGGCAACGGCAGGACGGAGTGCCACTGTGGGGCAGACAACTGCAGCGGCTTCCTGGGCGTGCGGCCCAAGGTCAGTGGTGGGGAGGGCGCTGTTGGAGAACCGTCTCAAGAAGAGTGGGCCAGATGGTTTAGTGTGTGGTCCATCGGCTGTGTCTACCTGAAGTTGAGACGCCAAGTCCCCACTGGAGTATATATCTCAGTAAGAACTGTCAGGTTCTGAACACGTTTGTATTTCTGATTGAATTGGAAGTCAGCAGACTCCTTTTCAAGAACAGTAAAAAAAAAAATTCACCATACCCTAAAACCCATGCAATTACTCACTTTAAATTGGTGGGTTTTATGGTTTGTGAATGATATCTCAGTGTTTTTGCAATTTTGGAAAAAAAGCACCTATTCAAAAGTCAATGAAAATGAAGCATTGTTTTTGAAATAGAACAGTGTTTTTTTTCTTTTTAATTTGGCTGCACCAGCTCTTTGTTGCAGCACATGGGCTCTTTTAGTTAAAACATGTGGAATCTAGTCCCCTGACCGGGGATCGAACCCAGGCCCCCTATATTAGGCGCACAGAGCCTCATCCACTGGACCACCAGGGAAGCCCCAATGAAGCTTTGTTTTTCTTTCATTTCTGTTATGGGACAAGCCCTTCTGGAGTTTTAGCTAACTGGACAACAGATGGATTTATGTGAACCTGAGGTCGTAGGAGTTTCCTTTTCCATAAAGCTTCATGCACTGTGATTGTTAAAACCATGATCCCTCTTTCCCGCCAGTCGGCATGTGCCTCCACAGCTGAAGAAAAGGCCAAAAACGCTAAGTTAAAGCCGAAGCGACGGAAACTCAGAGCCGAGCCCAAGCAGCTGCCGGAGGACGCCTGCTTCCAGTGCGGGGGCGGTGGGGAGCTGGTCATGTGCGACAGGAGGGACTGCCCCAAGGCCTACCACCTGCTCTGCCTCAACCTGCCGCAGCCGCCCTTCGGTGAGCGCCCCCGCCCGCCGCGGCCCAGCCCCGTGGGCCGTGCCGTGGGGCGCGGAGAGGACAGCGGCCAGAGCAGGCACCTCCCAGTGCGCGGGGGGATGCCCGTGGGCGCGGGGCTGCCGTCTTGTGTTCCCCGAGTGGTGTGGGACTGGGGGCAGAGCTCACAGCCACCTCGCCAGGACCACGCAGACCTCTTGTGGGCCGAGGCCTGGAGCTGTGGTCAGCCGGACGCAGCCTCCAGCCAGAGGGGCAGGTGGGAGGTGGCGTGTCTGGTGGGTGATGGACCCGGGCACTCACTGAGCTCCGTCCTTCTTCCCACCTCCCCAGGAAAGTGGGAGTGCCCCTGGCACCAGTGTGATGAGTGCAGCGCTGCGGCCGTCGCCTTCTGCGAGTTCTGCCCCCGGTCCTTCTGTAAAGATCATGAGAAGGGGGCGCTGGTGCCCTCTGCCCTGGAAGGCCGGCTCTGCTGCTCGGAGCATGACCCTGCGTCCCCCGTGTCCCCCGAGTACTGGAGCAAGATCAAGTGTAAACTGGAATCACAGGATCACGGAGAAGAAGTCAAAGAGTAAACGGGCGGGGAAAATGTCCTTCTTTTTATTTAAAGGGAAAAAAAGGAGAAGAAAAAAGTAGAGGACGCATCAGTGCAAGAAGAGACCGCTGCGATGCAGGCAGCCTTGGCCAGAGGCGACGCCTCGCGAAAGCAGGAGCGAGGAGCCGGTCCGCAGGCCGAAGCCGGTGGTGGGCTCTGCTGTTTTCAGTTACGTCGGTTTGGGAATTCCTTTGTGGAGGGTTAGATTCACTTGGTCTTTTCTTGCCCTTTTACTGTGCTCTAAAGCCTTTGCAGCTGGGAAAAAAGAGCTGTCTTCGCTTTTGAAAATAAGAACAGAGAGAAAAGAAAGTTTTTTGTTAATGAGATAAATTTAAAGTCTAGGATGTGTTCCGTGGGTGTACAAAAAAAAGTAGCCATCATTCCTTTATTTATTTTCATTTTTTAAGATTCTGAGACGCATAGTTCAGATAGTCTGATCAGTGTATGTGTATACATGTGTGTTTTAAGTAGGAATTGCAGAAAGCCCTCTAGAGAAGGGTCTGGCGGTGTCACAGGCCCCTCTCCCGGGCGTGAGGGTGGCTGGCTTTGCTTTCCCTTCCAGGTGTCTCTCATGGTCTTAGAGATGGCTCTGTGGGAGGACTGCACCTGGCCTCCTGAAAACAAAACCCTCAGTGGATATTACGTCTGTGGTCTCACACTCGGCGGGCTTTCTGATGTGACTTTACCTAGAAAGGTATGTGATGTGGTTGCTGGTTTTTCCTTCTGGAGGAAACTGGAAGCGGATGGTCTCACCGAGTCTGAAATGTTCTCCAATGATAATGGGTGTTTTGGTGAAGTGCATTTATGTGGTATGTAAATGCAGGGTTCAAATGGACATTCCTGTTATCCTGGGGCACTGGTAAAGGCAGCTAAAGGCAGATGAAGGGCACGGACCAAAAGTCGGGTCAGAGGAGCACCCTTGTCTGTCCAGTGTGCTGTGGACCCTGGTCTGACTTGGAGAGAATGTTGGGCGTTTTATTTTCCGTCTCCCAGTCAAACATCCCCTTTATCAACTGACCACTCAGTTTCCTAATGGAAACTACACAAATGAATTTGAATTCGTGTGATTTGAGTAGCTCTTTCTGTTTAACTCTGCATTTGAGGGCAAGAGGGGCCGGGGCATTCCCCAAGTGGCCTATAAATTATCCAGTCCTTAGACTTGCCCCCACCGGGGAGGGGAGGCACTTGTACAGGGTAGGTAAGGCCACACAAACGCACTTCATCGCAGGAAGCACTTAGGGAGAGCTCCCGAGAAAGCAGTATTGGCAAGAATAGACGCTCGTGAAGCGGACTGTCTGCCCACACAACGCCCTTGCTTGTAACGCTTAGGAATATTCTACTCCAGGATTCCCTGTATGGATCCATTAGTCCTGTCAGACCTTGTTGTAACACTGTACTAAGTAGAAGTCTAGGGTTAGCTTGAATGAACGTTAACCTTTCTCTGTGAATTTTGACTGCTTACAATTACCTGTACCTTGCAGCATTTATTTTCCCTCCCGAAGTACCCAGTGACCTTACAAAAAGGCTGGGAAGATAGATGCTCCACAACATTCCTTTAGTTGTGCTGTGTGTCCCCTTTTTTCTTATCAATTTAGAGCTCTTCTCTAGAAAAAAGAAAAAAAATCTGTTTTGTGCCTCTTTTTTTTTTGTATGTATATGTGCAATTATACTGGATTTTTTGGTTTAAAAAAACAAAAACAAAACAACAAAAAAACAAACACTACAATTCCTTTACTTAAGCTCCTAAACTGCCATTTGCGTGATTCCAGCAAATAATTTTGAGGTAATTTATTGAGCCTCCAGTAATTCTATTGATTAGATACAGTCTCAAAAGAAAGAGCAAGATAGAAGATGCTACATGTGTTACCAAATGCGACTGCCGCCAGTCACATGAATTACTGCCGCCAGTCACATGAATTACAGCTCACCAAAACACTAAACTTTGCTCTTGAGCAACTATAGAGTTTAATGTCCTTTTAAAAAAAATAACTTAAGAAAATCTATGTTTTATCATACTAAAACTTTATTTTATATATGTATATGATAAACATTTGCTTTTCTAAACTTACTAACATGAAGGATTTCCTTTAATATTTGAACTGTAACTCGCGTTGAATCAGTATCCAACATGAAATCTTCTTGCTTTGTTTTGGACTTAGTGCTATTTAATATCTGACTTTTATATGGTAAGCCAGGGTATAGCCTGTATACTACAAATACCTTAGGTTTAAGTATTTTTATGCAGCTTCTGCATTGTGTCACATTTTGTTTGTGTATCTGTAACAGAGCTCCGCTGAGAGTTTTCTGATTTGGGGTGGGGGACAACAGGGTGGGCAGGTGGGGCGGGAGGGGGTGGCTAACGGGATTGTTCTGCCATTTCAGAAATCAGGGTGGAAAGCAAAATTGCTGACTGCAGCTCTGGAGTCCCTGTCCGGGAATGTCCTCTAACAGTCTCAGAAGTGGTTTTAGTCCTGCCAGTGCCAAGGAGCTCACTTACTCCTGGTGGTGTCACAGGTTTACGTATTTTAAAGGTGCAGGCTGTGGAAGCAGGCGAAAGAGTGAGACATGCTTTCTGTGTGCGTAGTATACGAGCAGTGTGCTTGCTTATGGTTCGCCATGAAATGCTGCGACAGACACGTTGCTTACTCGCAGCCGGAAGTTGTTATTTGATTTGCTAACTGAAATCTAGGTGTAGTCAGACCATAAATGGCTGGTTTTTAATTCTTATCTGAAAATGAAATAACATCAAGCAGCATGGGATAACGGTGGTAATTTTTTGAACCTTATGTTGGTTCAGAGAAAAAGTGAATGTTAATATTTTTGATAATCTGCAGAACGCTTCAGAAACTGGGTCTGTAACAACTAGAGGTGAGATTCCAGACTTTCCAGGCCCTGGTGGGAGTCGGGAGCTGCCTGTCGCTTTTGGGGGGAGGGGGGTAAGGGGGCTGCATTCCTGGAAGACGGAAGCAGCTGGAGGAAGTGAGTCACTTCTTGACTGTCTAATCAGGGCTACAGTTAGGAGTGAGGTGGGTTTTATTTTCATTTCTCTTTTTAACAAGTTCCCACCCTATCCTAATTCTCAAAAAAGCTCTGGCCTAAGCTGTAAAATAGGCTGACTTTTAGAATCATTGAAACTTGGAGATTTCTGTGTGTTCAAGTCAGGAACACATCTAAAGAATAAAAAAATAAAATAGGGAAGGGGGAAGGCTGCTCCCCGCTGCCATTTCCACAGAGTATTAGGAAGCAGGTCTGGAAAGAATGCTGTGATGCCCACAACCTCGAGATAATCAGGTAAAGGACTCTCAGACAGGGCAGCTGTCAGACAGCTTTCTTTCCTGATTGTGAAGCAGAGTTTCCTTACTTCATAGTAGCTTGTTGCGTGGTGTGTTCAGGCAGGGTCCAGCCCAGATCTGCAGTTTGGAAGGAAGCAGGTGGGCCAGCCGTGTAGAGCACAGGCTCTGGACTCCCAGGGATTTGTTGCTTGTCTCTCATTTCATTTTAAAACAGAAAGCTCTTCTTTAGCATTCACCTTAAAGTTAAGATGCTCCCGCACACCATGTCCCATTAGGATGAGAAAATTCGGCTCCATGGCATGCTGACAGCTTGGGAAGCGCACACCAGTTGTTCTTCTGCAGAAGGGACAGCATGAAGGGACAGGGGAAGTTGCTCAATTGACGAGCAGTGCAAATTAGACTTGAATTACTTCTTAAAAAGCTGGTGTGTCTAGATCCCTCGGGTCAGAGCTGCAGCTGCAGCTGCAGTGATCACATGAAGTGATCACTCGGAACAACTTCCTTTGGCCTCAGGCCACCTAGACTTGGGCTTCCCTGATAGCTCAGCTGGTGAAGAATCCACCTCCAGTGTAGGAGACCCTGGTCTGACTCCTGGGTTAGGAAGACCCCCTGGAGAAGGGATAGGCTACTGACTCCAGTATTCTGGCCTGGAGAATTCCATGGACTGTATAGTCCATGGGGTCACAAAGAGCTGGACACAACTGAGCGACTTTCGCCTTCTTTCTTTCACCTAGACTTGGTCTCTGGTTATTTGTAAACAGAGTGGAACTCACTTCCATTTCCAGATAGGCTCGGGAATAGACTTAATTAGATAGCTTTGCCATGTACTGACGTATACGAAAGAGTTGGAAATTTGTATATACTGAAATCTACCAATGTTTATCTGGGGTGGGGTACTGGGAGAAACGGGGTTACAGTGGGGTGAGGGAGGGGAATTATAATGTTTACCACAGGTACGAAGTAGTCACTTTAACACTGAGACCTCTGCCTCATTGAATTCAGGTTTTTTAAGTACTTGAAACTCCTCAGATTCTCCTTGTTTTACAGTTATTTTTAAATTTATGAAGTAGAAAGCATTGTTTTGTACACTGTTTTGTCTCTTACCCTCTTGAACTTGAGTTAGAGGCGAAGTTCTGCACATGGGAGCATCCACAGTAGGTCTCTCAGATTCAGTGTATGTAGTCGGGGAAGAGACTCCTGCATGAAATACCAGCAGCATTTTCATGAGTATTTCCTATGTATGTTTTTACTTTGTTATTTTGTCAACCCTATCCCCACGCACCTCTTCTTTCCTTTTAATAGATGCCTGTGTAGGGGGGAAAAAAACAACTTTGCACTTACGTTACACTCCTGAAATGCCGGGTGTGACCTGTGTGTTTCAAACCCATTTCCGTTCTTTCTGCAGTCAGTCCATGGCTTAAGTGACAAGTTCAGGTGCGTGTGGCACGTTTGTATAAAGGGAGAGGAGGTAGAGAAATAACCTGTCCTTCGGGAGCATCTCAAAGTCATTAGCATGTAAGAGAAAGGGAGAAGAGGAATAGTTGCCAAAGTCCTTTATTCCAGTCCTTTGTCTTCTCGCATGACATCACTGCATCTGCTAATTGACAAGAAAGCACCCTCGGGTTCCCCTTCCCCAGCCGCCAGACTTCTGATGCACAGCGCTGTCAGTATCCATCAGATGACCTAGATGAGGGGTGTATATGATGTAACTCTTGTCAGTTTAGAAGCAGACTGGATAAAATGTCCTTTTCCTTCATTGTCACTAACATTGCTCTTTATCTCATTCGTGCTGTCACATGCCCTCCATGTTAAACAAGAAAATCATATCGCCACTGATAACTAAGATGCTAAATGATGATTGCAACTGGCTAATAATAAGGTTCTTTTTATATATAAGGGTGTGTGCATAATTGGAATTGACATGAGAAATCCATTTGTATCCACTTGTGATATTGCACAACAACCACAGATACCTACAGATTCTGTTTTCATTTCCTCGTGATCTTTATGATAATGACCTTTGTAGATTGGTTATTTCTGTACTTTGTTTATCTGTAATAAACTTTGTAGATCCTGTGAAATGTTATTTTGCCTAAATCACTTGAGACTTGAGTCTTTAATAACAAAGCATCAATATTCACTAAAAGTCAATCTCTTTTTATTAGAGTTTCTGTGACTTGGCTAGAAGCTCCTGATAAGGATTAGTGTTCATTTTCCCTGGGGGGTGTTCCACTAGGGCATTACTGAATAATGACTTGATGTTGCCACATAGACTTCAAGATATATGATATTTTGGGGATTTTGTTGATTGGCCCATGTTTTATTGCATAGTGTGAAATGTTTAAAGCTTGGTTAACCTGTATATAGATAGGTTATTGTTGACTAGTTACAGTGTATTAGGATTGCCTGTAATATTTAAGCTTCTTACTACTGTGTGTGCTGGTAGGAACATATAATTTTTGTACATTCTATTTACTGAGATGTTACCTTTTTTATTTTACAAATACTTTGGGATTCAATTTTTTTTTTTTTTGCTTCCGTGAGGATTAATTTGGAAAGATTTTTAATGACATTCCACTGATTTCCAATTTTGCTTGAGATTGACTTCAATAAATTGTCCTGTATGTTCCAAAATTAAATGTATGGACTTGTTCATTGTCACAACTTCTTGCTACAACTCAGTGACCAACAGGCCAACCTGGGCGGGAGGGGACCAGGGCAGGGTTGGCCGGTGGGCCCTGCAGCCCAGGTCTAGCGGAGCCACGGAAAACGGCAAGGGACCTGGCAACGCAGCAACAGGAAACGCGCACTCTGCGCGCTTCCCGGGAGCAAAGGCCGAGTGAGTACGAAGCGTCCGGCGGCGTGGGAGGGCGGGTGGAGAGACACGCAGGGAACGACTCCTCCCTCCGCCCCGCCCATCTCCCGCGCGGCGCCCCGCCCCCGAAGCGATGCCCCGCCCGTCTCCCGCGCGGCGCCCCGCCCCCGGCGCTGCCACGTCAGCCTTGAGCGGGCACCAGGCGATGGGTAAGGGGAAGGTGGCCGTGGCGGCCCTCGCGGCCGAGGTGGGCGTGCGGCTCGCGCTGTTCGCGGCCTTCCTGTAAGGACTTGAGCTCTGCCCCCTTCCCCGACCCCGGGCCTAGGCCCTCAGCCCCCCACCCTCCTTTCCGGGACCCGGCCGGGTTCCGCGCGCGCTTGCCGGAAGCCCCCGACGCTCCGCTCCTTTGTGTCCCCTTCAGGGTGACGGAGCTGCTGCCGCCCTTCCAGAGGCTCATCCAGCCCGAGGAGATGTGGCTTTACCGGAATCCGTACGTGGAGGCAGAGTATCTCCCCACCAAGCCGATGTTTGTGCGTGGAGGACCAGCCTGCCTTCTGACCGCGCTTTCAGGGCGTGGGCGGTCATCCCGGCTCCGCGGCGACATTTATGGGGAGTTCGGTGCTAGACGGGGCTTCACGTCGCCGTGCTTCTCGGCGGGGTTGAGAGCGGATGTCCCTCCGCTTTGGCTCGGGAGACACGTGCTGGGGGCAGTGCGCAGGGCGGCCGGGGGAGCTCGGGGCCCAGGGGGCCGCAGGCGGACCCTGGACACCACCCCTGCGGGGGAGCAGTTCAGGTCTGATGTGTGACTTCTGTCACTCCGCCCCTCTTGCTGTCGGAGGTTTTGTGTTTTCAAGCTGGTTCTGTTCTCTCGTGTGCTCAGCTCCGCTGTGTCCCGTGCAGGTCATCGCCTTCCTCGCCCCGCTGGCTCCCGTCCTCTTGGCCAGGTGTCTCAAGAAGGCGGACGCAGCCGACAGCCGGCAGGCCTGCCTGGGTAAGAGTGCCCCCCGTCCTCTGCCGTAGGGTCCCCCCCCCCCATGGAGCTGGTGGCCTCAGTGTGTGGAGGCCACGTGCTGCGAGCCCCTAAGGTGACTCTGTCTCCCCTCTACCCCGCTTTTTCCCTGTGCGCTGTGGGTCACCTCCAGGGTACACCTGTTGGCACAGCAGTGTGTGCACCTGCGGCGCGTCCTCAGGCTAGGCCAGACGTCCCCCCTGTGGCACCGCAGTGGCCACCAAGGCCCGCGTTCCTTTTATGCTCCAGTCTGGCTGGAGGCCGACCACTCTGCTGTCCCACGAGACAGTGTCCCCTGTGGCTATGCTGAACAAGGCAGGGACGTCTGCAGACCCGCTGACAGTGAGTTTCTCTGCATTGCAGCGGCCAGCCTGGCCCTGGCCCTGAATGGCGTCTTCACCAACACGATCAAACTGATAGTGGGGAGGTGAGTGCCCGAGCTGCCATCAGCCCTCCCCCGTCAGGAGAGGGCGGTCACGCAGCCCCAGCCGCATCTTCCCGAGCCTCGTCATCCCTTCCCTCTGCCTCGGTCCCCCTCTGACTCGGGCTCTTTTCCGCCCAGAACAGCACATTTCCCAGTGCCACAGAGCGTGTCCTCCAGAGCACCCTGAGGAAGCTGCAGCGTGACTGACCCTTTCCCCTAACAAGTAATTATGTGCTGCAGCAGCCTTTTTTTCTTTTTCTGATTTAAATACTAACCTTGGAAAAAATAAGGTTTTTCTCTTAGTGGTGACTATCCAGTCGTTTCACTGTTTTGCCTGGGATGCTATTTGATTGACAGTTAATAGGTTAATCGATGTCTAACACAAGGGAAGAACAATTTCTGGAGTTGTGAATGATCCACGTTCAGACCTGGCGTATTTCTTCCAGGCCACGCCCAGACTTCTTCTACCGCTGCTTCCCGGATGGGCAAGCCCATGGAGACTTGGCATGCTCGGGAGACAAGGCCGTGGTGAACGAGGGCCGTAAGAGCTTCCCCAGTGGCCACTCATCCTGTATGAATACCATGTGAACTCTACGTCTGTGTTTGTTTTTTTTTTAAATCATTGAATTTAACCCAAGGGAACTTGTGAGGATGGGAACATCTCACACACTCTTGTTCTTGTATCTAGAAATCAGAGGTCCCCCCCTTCTTTAACAAGCTTGAACCTCAAGTATTAAACATTTAAGGACAGAGGAAGTAGTTTCCCTTCATGAAATTTGAACATTATTACTGTATTATCTGCCTAAATCCTGCAGTCTCTCGTGCTAGTCATAAAAATATTAACCAACCTTTATGGAAGAGTTACTATATAGTCAGGTACTTCCAAAACCATTTTAGATTCGTCTCATTTGACAGCATATTAGCCCAATGAGATGGGTTCTTTTTATGATCCCCATTTATATACGAGGAAACAGAGGCAATGGGAAGTGAAGTCCCATCGCTAGGATTCCAAAAACTTTTCCAGGTAAATGTCACTCACTTTGGGACATAATCCTTCATTTTCCCTTGTTTTCTCCTCCCTCATAACTGACAGTCGCGATCAGTGATCTATACCAGAAGCTACAAAAAGGGCTAAGAACATGTTCATAACCCTGTCTTCTTTTCCTTTAAAAGACATATACTGAGAGGTTTTCCTTCTTCTAGTTGCATTTGCCAGCCTGGCCTTCGCATCCTTCTATCTGGCGGGGAAGTTACACTGCTTCACACCACGAGGCCGAGGAAAATCTTGGAGATTCTGTTCGTTTCTGTCACCCCTACTCTTTGCAGCTGTGATTGCACTGTCCCGCACCTGTGACTACAAGCATCACTGGCAGGGTAAGTGAGGCGTCCAGGCCGTGGACCCACCATGGTTCTCCCGTCATTTGTCCCCCACACGTGGCCTGGGACACACCCCCAGGTATCTGCTGAGTGAACAGACAAATGCATGGAGGATGGTCTGGATCTGAACTGAGTGTGTGGCTTATTGCTACATGGAAAATGGGAAAGCACACTGTTCTTTTTTTTTTTCAGTTATCTTTTAAACAGATTACCAAAGAGGGACATCCTAATCTTCCCATTACTTTGAAGCATCATAAGTTCAGAAAAAACTCTTAAGAAATTTTTTACAACCAACCTCAAAGTTCAGTTTACTATCTTAAAAATCAACTTCACTGTCAAGGTTTTTGTTCAGTAATGGAAGTAAAATTTAAAAAACATAAAATTGTAATTAAACCAAAGAAATTTAAGTTGAATGATATAGTAAAACATCCAAATTACAGAGTATCTGCAGAGAATGCCCAAAATTTAAAAAAAAAAAAAACAAAAAAGCTGACAGTATTAGCTCGAGGCCCTTAGGAGCTGTTCTGAAGGATAAACTAAATTTTTGCCAAGAGAGGCAACTCCTGGAGAGTTTATTCCTTCCTCTAGAACCCTTTGAATGGTGATGAAGGGTTTTTCATAGTATTCAATGAACTTGTTATTCTTCCAAACTAAAATAACTCAATGTAGTGAACTCAGAAAATGTCTTGTTATACTTACCTAACTAAAGATGTGTTTTGATTTGGTGTTTAAGGGAACAGCTTGATAATGACAATAGTGCAGCTATATGATAAAACTAAGAAAGTCCCCCAAAACCGTAACCCTGGAATGCAGGGGTTTTGCAGGCTAAACGAGTAGCCTTGGCGGGTCAAGCTCCCTCACCGGCAAGCATGACTTGTGAGTGAGGGAAGGCGGTCTCCTGTCTCCGTTCAGACGTCCTGGCTGGCTCCGCCATCGGCCTGACGTTCGCGTACAGCTGCTACAGGCAGTACTACCCTCCGCTGACGGACGCCGAGTGCCACAGGCCGCTGCCCCTCGGCCCTGCTCTTCCCGCCGCGCAGAAGCAGCCCCGCGGCCCGCAGCCTTTCTGTGTTTAGACACTGGAGCCGCCTCCCCGGAGAACAGGCCCATCGGCCCTCCTCTCCCCCCACGCCCAGGACAAGAATGTCTGACCTTTACCTCCTGAGACACAGGTGGGGACAGAGGCCCACAGGCTGGTGCAGTTTCACCCCGGTGCCCAGGGACTCATCGAGAGGGGTTGAGGTCCTTCTGCACTACTGTTTGCCACGCACAGTCCCCCAACAGCGTACGAGGCTGGCCCAGCGGACTGGCATCCTGAGATCCAGTGTTTCCACATGTAACTTCAGTACGGTTCTTAGAAGGATTTTGTCACAAAGAACCGTTTACATTAACCTCACTTTATCCTAGACACTAGCATTGATTACCAGAACTTAATTTCCACTTTCCATAGCTCAGAATCTTAAAATCCAGGGCATGAGCAATTAAATTATTTTACTTCGGTTTCCTTTCTCTGGTGGGACACTTGCCCACCTGAAATAGGAAAATGTCCAATTCTGACTAATTTACCACTGTTATGCTTATCCAAGTCCAGCTAAATAGTGCTGTCCCTTCTGAATTCTGTGAATATAAGTGATTTGATAATTTGTTGACTTACTGAGTAAACACAGTAAACAAGGAAACGGTCAGGAGCGTCGATTCAGGACCAACAGCAGATGCCGGTTCCGTCCCCACCGGTGCTGAACCTAGCTCACGAGCCGCCGTGCCTGCAGTCACGGCTGCAGACCTGTGCGAACACACCCACCCTGCCACGTGGCTGAGGCAGGAGAGGGTGCTCAGAGACTTACCTGGAGGACAGGCCAGCGTCTCCCGTCCTGTCCCCAGTGGGCCATGAGGAACAGTTACGGGACGTGGTCGGAACTGATGCACAGGACCTGAAACTACCCTTCTCTTTATGCTGATCACACTTTAATAGGACCTTGTTTTTTATTTCTTTCAGTAACATTTTCAGTGCACCTTTTTCCTTATGTAAATGCAATATGCAAATAAAATGGTGAATGTGGGCTTTGCACTTAAAGTTCCATTTGAGAACTGAAACATTTCAAGTTAAACACTGGAGTCCCCATCTGACATAAGTGACTCAACTGTCTCCAGCAGTGGCTGATGTTAATAATACCAAAGAGCTCTCAATATTTACCTTATAATCACTGTAGTTTAACAGTCAAGGGGAAAAGAACCCGAATGTCAGTTCTTTGCCCAGTACTTTTTTAAAATTTGTTTTAGTAACACAGAGGGGGGGAGAAAATGGTTATTGTACTGATTCTCTTTGGTCTTTGATGGACGAGCCAGGTAGAAGTAGGCAACTGGTCAAATTGGTTTTATTTCAGTATTTACTAAAGTTTTAAATATAGTCACATAAAAAACAAACATTTCAAAAAGTGCAAAATATTAGAAAGCTAATCAGTGCTATTAATCTTTCCATGCAAACAATCTCTCTTGCTGAGATAAGCAATACCAATTCTGCAGCTGGAAATATGTATAAAATGATACTCTACCAGAGTTTAAAAATAGGCTTGGTCAAGAGATTGCACATGATACAACTGAAGTAGTGCAAAAAATATACAACTGAATAAGAAATTTAAGTCAAGCTTAGTACCCTGTGTAAGATGCATCCATGATACCAACACAGGGGGATACACAGGATATAAAGCTCTTCTCCAGTCACCTGCCCTTCACCACCAAGAAGGAAACACTTCTTAGTACAGACAGTGGTTTATCTAACAATCCGGGGTGATGCTGTTCATCTTTGGTTACAGGGACTCACTCTTGCTTGTCCTTTGGCTTACTCTTACAATTTACTTATTCTGTCAATAGGAAGAGTAAATTTAAACTTAAGGACAACAACTTGATGAAAGCTTCCCCTTTACATTGAATGCTACTTAACTCTCAGTAACCCTTATTTCGGTCTCGGAGTTTATGTAGTAAATAAAGCATTTCATAGAGCTGAAACGTCTTAGTGGCCTGGTCAGCATCAGTCTGTAAGCAGATGGACATGGAGAGGCCAGGCCCTCAGCAGTACCCCAGCCTCATCTCCAGCGTTATCGTAACATTCCCTCTGCTGTCACAGAGATGGCCGATGTGAACGTTAAATGCCGGGGGTCTACGTTCACCCACCTCACCTGCACACTCGAACACTGCCTCTGCAGCAGCTGTTCCTGGCCCCACAGAGCCAGGATCCCCCTGGCGGACCCACCCCTCCCCCGGCACTGCCTGTGCTGAGGCCTGTCCATTTGCTCCCTGCTCTGCGGGGACTCAGAGGCAATAGCGTCTGTTTGAAGAGAACAGTCTTCAACACTCCCTTCACACAAGTGGATGTGGCAGATGGCTCTTACAAGTTGTTCCACCATGAACACACCACTAGAAGTTTTTATTCATCACTTCATAAGCAGTCAGAGCTGTGTAACTGCAGGTTTTTCAGCATTTATAACTTTAAGCAAGAACTAACAAATAACTAGGTTGGACTTCATCTAGAGTCTCCCAGTTTGAAGTATGATATGATATAAAAGGGCAGGTCTAGGATATATAATATCTTTATAAAGATGTACCTGATGGAAACTAAACTGTCCACTTTAGACTCTTAGAGCAGCTCAAGCTGTAAAAACAATGAACAGCTTCTGTGAGTCCTAGCAATAAATCTTGTCAGTCAACTATAGAAAGTAAACAGTATTTATAATTTTAGTCTTTCTTCATAACAGTACGTGTGGGAAACAGAAGTTGGCTGGAAAGAATCTGACTGCCCACCAGTCTCCCTCCTCCACTTAGATCTGGCCTTCAAACGCAGAGAACACCCATGACCATAAGCAGACCCAGAATGGCTTCTGAGTCTCAGGAACTCACTACCAGATTAGAATATTCTCTCAACAGTAACCGCCTAGAAAAATTTACACCCAACCCAAAACAAACTCAAGGCAAGCCTTATACCATCTCAAGTAATAAGCAATAGAGTGTGGTACGTAAATGACATCAGAGAATTAAAGATGCAGACTACCCACAGCCATCAAGAAAGAATGGCGAATGTTTCTGTGAAGCCAGTGGTAAAAAGTAACAGGGTCTTCCCTTTGCTTTTCCACTTGCTTCCAGAGAGGAAGATTATCTTCCAGAGACCCTAGTGGTGAGTAAGTAGCAGGCAACATGCAGGGAATGACACAGCTGAGAGGAAAACGCAGGAACAGAGAGGCAGGTTTTCTGGGGAAGGATTCCTCAGTGTCCATCTAGGGGAGAAAGTGGAAGAGAGGTCATCACGCTGAAGGCAACCAGAGAGAACGCCAGAGTCTGATACAGAAGCTTTCTAACTATTAATATATATATACAGGGCTGAGTAATGTAAATCCTAGGCTGGGCTGTCTGTACTGAAAGCTGCAACTGTTGTAACTGCAAGGAGCTCAAACCAGTCCATCCTAAAGAACATCAACCCTGAATATTCACTGGAAAGGCTGATGCTGAAGCTCCAATACTTCGATGCTGGGAAAGATTGAAATCAAAAGGAGAAGGAGGCAGCAGAGGATGAGTTGGTTAGATGGCATCACTGACTCAATGGACATGAATCTGAGCAAACTCCAGGAGAGAGTTGAGGACAGAGGCGGCTGGTGTGCTGCAGAACATGGAGTTACAAAGAGTTGGACACAACTTAGTGACTGATCAGCAACAACAATGTAAATCCCAGAATGGACTGTATGTACTTAAAGCTGTAAATGTTGTCATGGTAACTCTTAGATGGTCAGAACCATGAAGAGTCTGAGTTTAGATCCTAAAAATGACAAGTGTTTTTGGACCAAGTTGCTAGCAAAACACATGCTAACCTTTCTCTAAATGGCCTCCAGTGCTTTTTCCCATGAATTTTAACCAGATTCCTTCTAAAAATGAGTAATAACCTAGATCTTGGTGACAAGCAACAAAAAGTACATTTCCAAGCAGCTTTTGAGGCTCCACATGTTAATATGTAGGAACAATGCTACATACATGACATTTAAAAACTTACATTAAGCAGCCTTAGGTGGTTCATTTTTACTGTAAAGGCTGATCAAGGAAGACACCCTGGGTTTGGTAGATTTCTTTGAGAACCAGCAATACTGTATCTTCAGACTCCCTGGAGAGAGAAAAGATTATGTTGTAAAAAGAAACTAACATTTGTACTAGGTGTTTTACATATACTAACAATCTACACAACCACCTTACAAGTTCATTTTTTTTACTGTTTAAAAAAAAAATCTGGCTTAGAAGTGGTATATCTAACAGTGGCTTGGAAGGTAACCTAGCAAAGAAGTTGTTTATTAGGTTACCTTCTAACAAAGAAGTCTAGCATTGTGTTCTGTAATATAAAAAAGCCAGTAGTAAATGACCAAGCCCTCCCTCCACAGAACTCATTCTTGGGACAACATGGAAGAGTCGTCCAATTCATCACCTTAATTTTTTAAATGTTGAGTCACCTTTTTAAAAGAAAAGCCAATACAATCATGTGGATAAAGATCAAAGATACAAAAGGATATAATAATGAAGTCTCCTTCCCACTGTTTCTAAACCACTAGTTCCCAACTTCTGACAACTGGTGTTATCAATTTCTTATGTATCTTCCAGATATTATTCAGTGTGTGTACAAGCAATTACTTATATCTCATTCATAAAGAAACATGACTATAAAAAGAACATTCATGGATTGCCTTACAGGTATATGGCTCAAACACTTTTTTAGATCTGGGGTTTGACATTTTTTGTCATAGACCTATTTGAGAATCGAATGAAACCTATGGATTTCTCCCTGAAAAGACATCATACACATATACTGTATACCCAAAATTGTAAGTAGAATTTCACTAGACTCGTGGACTTTTTCTGTCCCCTACAAGCTCTGCCCGTGGACTGCAGGTTAAGAAATTCCTCCTATCCCAGTGAGAGGAGATTAGCTAAACCAGGTATTAAAATGGTGTGATCCTGGAGCATAAATAAATGAGTCAATAGAAAAGAACAGAAAGTTCAAAAGTAAGACTTAAAAACCCACATAAATTTAATACAATGAAGTTAG